CTACTGAAGGTACGGTTGGACGAAAGGCCCCAAAACCCCGTTCCATTCCATGGCTATGTTAGGCACATCAATTGAGCTGCTATTATAGGCCTTTGAGGCCGTTGTGATCCCATGGCAGAGTAGAGCAATCGAAAGTCACCGGATTAGGTAGTGTAAACCTATTTGACTAGCAAAGGTGGTTGACAAAAATGGTTAGCTCTGCATAGGAACAGCTGCCGTGTAAATATGTCATATACTTACTGAATGTTTGATATGTATCACTATCTGAAGAGTTGGTGCGAGACCTGGTGAGAGCTGCAGGGGTATATGCAAATAGCCGCTTCAGCCTTTGCACTTGGGCGGCAAATTCCGAACCTCATTGGAAAAGTTGTACGTCCCACGGGGGTTTAGTGTCTCAAGCATTTTCTTTAGGTAAAATGTCTGTGTTTATCTTACTGCCTAACATGCAGGTCATGTGCAAATATTTATTGTTCTAGTAAGATGTGCCCCGGGTATAGTGTGTGAGTGTACAACGCTCTTATGTTTGTAGCGGTCAGCATCCGTTATGATTGTGCACCTGTTAGTAGATTCAGGCCTCTGACACTTCTCCATTCTAGCAAAAGAGAAAAGAGGAACCCGAGTGCACCAGCGACAATGGGTGGGATAAAAGTAATTCTCAGAGACGCGGTGAATGCTTTCAATACACTTGCAAGCTGGTCTGGCGGCACAGCACTGCGCAAATTCGTTGGTCCTGCTTTGATTATTGCCGCTGAGTTGAGAAGAGGTGCTTCGATGCGTAAGATGCGGTTGAGGCTACTCATGAAAATATTTCCCCCAATAGCAAGGGAAAGAGTACCTCCGACTGAGTGGAAAAATATCATAATCGCATCTGTAGGGAACATATATTAGTAAGTCGCCACGAGAACCCAATAGCTCTCTAGAATGGGCTCTCACTAGCTGATGACATATCGCTTTGGTTTGAAACCGCTTGAGCAGCGATATATGGAATTTGCACTGACGCGCCCATCCCCGCTCCCGCGATGATTTGATAGCCGACAAGGGTAGCTGTATTCGAATCCATATTGATCGTGTAGAGAAGACCAGAGCCGATTACAAAGGCGGCTGATCCCAACCATACGAACGGTGCGTACCATCCAATAAGCCCGACTAAAAGGCCTGCAATTAGGGATGCACCGGTGTTGCTGGCTTGATACGGCACAACATCTAGGCCTGACTTCTCAGGGCTTGACCCTTTTACCGTTTGGAAATAAATAGGTAAATAGTAGACATGGCTAGAGGCACAGAATTGGTCAGCCGGTAGTTTTGGAAAAGTTGAGAGAATTACTGACATGTAGAACGACATTGCCAGAAAACATGAGAAGAGAGAAGCACTAAAAATGGTTCTTTGTTTAAACAACAGCCTGGGAGGAATCGTGGCCGTGTCCCCAAGCTTCCATTGAAGGAGGCAGAATAGAGTCAATAAGATGCCAGACACCGTAATACAGCCCCATACTCTAGCATCTGACCAGGGATAGGTTTTCCCTGCCCATTCAATTGCCAGAATGAAAGATGTAATCCCCGCAAGGAGGAGTACAGCGCCGGAAAGGTCTAATTCAGAGAGGCGAGCTTTAAGGCTGAGACTGGAGGGCGGATTGGCCAATCTTTTCAAAAAGATTAAAACCACTAAGATGGCCGCGCCGCCGCAGGGGAGATTGATCCAGAAGCTAAGTGGAAATCAGTATTCGGTGAATATATGAAGCGGGGTGGCGGGAGAGGCAATACCACCATCGCCAGCCCAGGCGGTTTGTAAGTATTCCACCTAGCAAAGGCCCGACAATGTTAGATGCACCCATCATGCTCGACATTAGGGCAATGTATGGTGCTCGTCTACTCAACGGGACAGTCAACGCAACGATGTTCAATCCTCCGGAAAAGAGGGCAGCAGCGCCAACCCCCGCTATTGCCCTCCCAAGTATTAGCACCCTGGATGACTGTGAAACGGCACATACAACCGATCCAACCTCGAATATAACCATGCCGCTTATAAAAGTCCATTTTGTATCAAAATAATTGTAAAGCTTTCCGAAACTTGGTTGCAATGCGGTTTGTGTCAACAGGTACGATGACCCATACCAACCAACGTCGCCTAGGGACTCGAACTCGGTTGCGATCACTGGAATAGCGGTTGCTTGTTTGAGGTTAGCGTGGGAAGCAGCGCAAGCGGTGGAAACGTACCTAGGATAACCACATCTAAGGAGACCACGAAGGCGCATAAACACAACGATAGGGTCAGTACTGTCAATTGGAGCCGACCGAGATATTGTGTACCCTCTTCTGCATCAATTACCCTGTCCTCTTCGCGTCCGTCTTGAGCCCCGATTGGGTCTGCTGTCTTTGACGTGGGAAACTGTGAAAGGAATGGCCCAGGAGGATGGGGAGACATGATAGTATCGGGAGACGGATGTATACTCTCATCCGCTGGAGACATCTTCTCATGTGCTTTCCCCTGTGTTTAATTTATTTATTGGCTTTAGCGGTTCAACAAGACAAGAAAGGAGATCAGGAGATTGCCAAACTCGCCTATGGAGGCATGCACCAGCCAAGATACCGTAGATACAGCGGAAAGCCTCACTTCCACGGAGAAAGATGTGTGAGGAAGAAAACTCTGCTGTTCAAGAAAAAAACGAGTATGTCCCCGAGCGTAAAACTGATTGCACCACCACTGAGGGACGCGATATTTTCACAAGGCGAACTCCGTATTTGTTGGGGTGAGAAGCCTCGGGACCCTCTGATACCAGCAAGAATGTTCAAAAATCACCGGCTGTAGGTTACACTGGGCCTGTTTGGTTAGACAAGTTCAAACATAATAGGGCTGGCGGGGGGCTGAACACGTACCAGTGGAGTACTTAATACCACGGTGACGCAAAGCTAACAAAAAGTGCATGGTCAATAAGCGTGCTTCCTTTCTCATTAAAAAGAGATATAATTATGGTGATGAGAGAAGGGTTTAGCCATAGCTGCAAATTGAACATGCAAAATCAGCTAGATTGACTTGCGATAATAGAGACATAGATCTGTGACAATTCTATGGGGCCTGATGCTCAATTGACACAAAATGAAAGTACTCTGTTTCCATGGTAGAGGGTCGAACAATGAGGTGAGGGCTTCCCACTCTGAGCTGACCAGCTCCTGGCTGACGGCATGATATCTAGATTTTCAAACTCCAGACAGGTGAGAATACCCAGACAAAGGCTTGTATTTGCGAACCAACCTAGAGTCTTTAGCCTCTCTCCGGGCCGACCTACCGGATTTTGCCTTCGAATTCATTCAAGGCACCTTTCCACACACCGAAGGTATGCTTGATGGAACATAAGACTTTCATCTCATCTTCTAAAGTTGACAACTCACCAGGCAATTGGTCCCTTTTCACGACGTCATTCTCCCAACTTCCATTGTATAACTACTTTAATCCGTTATCACCTCAATCGATTCTGCGCACAGAAGATGAAGTGTTCAGGCTGATTGAAGAGGAAGGCCCCTTTGACGGTGCTATTGGATACTCCGGCGGTGCTGGGCTCATAGCTCAGCTTTTAATCCGGGACCGTACGAATAACCCCTGGAAACTCTCCCATGAAAGAGTGTTCCGCTGGGCGGTTTTCATCAATGCGGCCTCGCCACTTGAAATCTTTCGGCTTTCAGATGTTCACGCGAAGGAGGGAATCATGACAGGATCCGCCTTGGAAAGAGAGGTAAGGGAGATTCTCTTTCGACCGTCGAATATGAGAGTGAGAAAGGGAACGGGGATGCACCCCGGTTATGATCCTGAAGAAACCCAGAGGAGCATAGCAGCTTTCCATGTTCGGCAGCTCATGGATGGCAGAGCCTTCATGACGGATGGGACGATGGGAGCGGCGCGGTACGAAGCTGCGATTCAAGGCAATTTGATCGATATCTCAACCTTACACGTCCGATGTCCAACCGTGGACAACCGACATTGGGGGCTTGAATTGATGGAGCTCTGCGAGCCGTCTTTGGTGAAGGAGTTTTTTCACGATCATGGTCATGACTTTCCTCGAGGTTATCATGAAATGAAGAAGATAGCAGAGCTTATTCGTGAAATAGCCGAGGAAGCGTAGACGCGAGGTAGTTAGCAATCTCATCATGATCTCCTTTGATTGTCTTTGTCGTTGAACGGACAAGCTCCCAGCCAATCACAGCTTTCACCAGCCCTGCTTAGTCATAATAATCTTGGCGGCGCGTCATGGGTGGATGGACGACGGAAGGAAGAAAGCAATGCAATCCCGACTTCAGTCTTGCTGGCCGTCGATCCAGATGCCATTTATGTTGCTCGTCTATCTAACTATGTCGGATCATGGAACCTTTCTAAATCCTGGGTGAATAGCCGTTTAGCCAAAGGTTAGTCGCATGAGACCTGCCAACCCAACCTTCCGTGACATGCTGGACCAGTGCCAAAGGGCTTTTGGAAGCATTCATCGCTGTAGTATCCGAGCATACTGCTTCACGCTTGACAATGGATTCGACCCCGCGTGCACCGACAGAACCCCCATCTAGCCAGCTCACTGCGCAGCTCGAGCAATCGCAACCCCAGTCCGCTGATGCCCCCGTCGCCATTTCCCTTGAGAACCCCGCTTTATTGATATCGAATCCTATAACCAAGCCCTTTCTACCTTCGGAGGGCCCTGCTACCCCCCGCTGCACGACGCCTCTGCAACCACCAGCTACTAGCAGCAAGCCCGATAATCTCGCACCGGGGACTCCCGCAACCCCCAAAAGGACAGGTCAACTAGCACCTGGTCTCTCCCTTCATGTACCCCAAAGACTCGTCAGCAGCCAGTCTGGCTCCTTTAGCCGCCCCCCAAACTCGCCGAAGCTAGACTCCACTCACATCTACACGTCTCCCTCTTCCGTTCTGCCACGACGGTCAAGAGGCTTGGATTTCTCTAGGGCCTCTACAAATCTTCACCATTCTACTTTGGCCGAAGCATCACCAGATTCTTCCCCCATCGTGGGTGGCAGGGGTGTGACCATCCCTCAACGCCGGCCGGGGAATGGCTCTGGATTCGCTTCCCCGAACAACTCTCACAGCCACATCTGGTCAGGGTCTGGCCATGGGGATAGGATATCGAGCTCCGTCAGCAGCATAAATATGCTGGACTCAGATTCTTCGAGCTGTAGTGATGAGGATGATGATGCATCCTTGGCTGCCGTGGAACGGGGAGAGTTTACTATCACGACGCCTCAAGCTGCCAAGACTTTTCATTCTTTATCGAACGTCGCTTCTCCGAATGTAGCGCAGAGCCCAGCGACAGATTGGATGCAAACTCTCTCTTCTACGAAGCCAAGCCTCATGAGTTTTCAACGAGCACGATATCGGGGTAAAACGAGGCATAGCTCAACGAGTACCAGCGGTACCAGCTCAAGGCCCAGCCCGGGGCCAAGGTCACCACCCGTACCGAAAAGTGTTGAAACCTTTCCTTCAGGATATTTTTCCAAAGAAGCCATCATAGCGGATGTCAAATCACGCCGGGAAAGCTTAAGTCTTGGAACAAGCGACTTGCACTTGTCTGATATGAGCGATGACGCTGAAACGAAACAGGGTATAAACAGCTCCTCTAGCGGATCCATAGCCGGTGGCTCCAATCCAGAGTTCTCGCGTCGAGGAGTAATACGTCGAGCAGTAACGAGGCGCGGGAATCTTTTGGTAAGCTTGTCGTACTAAATTGAGGGTTTCGGTTCCTAACTGGTATGAAATAGCCAAAAACCAAAACTTTCTCTCGAATCAAGGCAGCTTTGATGGAGGAAGGTGCTCCTATCGAGAGCGAAGCAAAAAAAGAGGCCGAAGTGATTCGGCAAGTTCGGGAAAGCGACTCCCTTTTGCCGCCTCTTTCGCCTTCGTTAATTACATCGGCATTGCCCTTAGTTTCCCAAACCGAAGACGGGGCAACGCATACATCCGCGGCAGGAAAAGCAGCTTGTACCGATTTTAGCCAACAAGCATCTGAAAATTCAGGAGGGGTTCAGTTCTGGAACTCCTTTGACCGTCGCCACCAGACGCCGCCGCCTCCCTTTGGCAAGCCGTTTGGCGATACTGCAATGCAAACTTCGCCTGGTAAACCGACATCTCTTCCCCAGCCTGGCTCTCCCTTCGTGCATCCCCGCCCGTTAGGGCCTCAAGCCGTCCTATCTCAAGCGGCCACAGACCTTTCACAAAGACTTAGCAAACGACGGCGCGTTGATGATCTCGACCTTGACCTCGCCTCATTCAAGCGCCGCGCAGTATCCCCTGGGACTAGCACCCAAAGCAGCCCAAGTCAATCACAGGCATTTTCGTTTCCCGAAAATACCCACTCCAATCAGTTGTCCAAAGCCGTACTTTGCCAGAACTCCGCGCAAAGTACAAGTACTGGACACTCGCAGCCCATCAAGCGAGTCGGTTTGCAGGGGATGACCGAAACAAATGAAGGCCTCATGAACATGAGTATTGATTAGCGGGGATTGCAATCGCCCTTCTTCGTTTCGTCATTTTGTGGCTATGGGGAGAGGCGTTTGGGCTGTTATGGTGTCATATGTATTATTTTCATCAATCGAGATTTTGTATGACAGAGCTTTAGCGTTGGCGCCTGAGCTTTTGCGTGATACCTGCACGGGAATTTCGAATTGGGAACAATGTAAAAGACATTGAGGTTTATATACAATAATAGTGGAGTTTGATGCCTTGAGGTTTGTGATGACCGTATTTCTTCAAGGCGAGCGAATGCCAAGCAACAGGGAAGTGATGCCAAGGCCCTAGTAGATTAGCTTGTTTCAACCACAGGTTTCGACTTCAACTCCAGATTGTTTCAACGGACAGCATTCTACGATAATACTGGAGGTCAAACAGAGCGTGCCTTGCCCGTCAAATTGTCTTACAAAGACAATTGGATTCATCAATCAATATATACAGCTGGAAAAACTTCTCTTACTATGGACAAGAAAATAAGAGAATCTGCCGACTCAATGCGGTAGAAGGAATTTCTCAGGGTTCAACCCATCCTGTTCCAGACTCATGCAAGCAAACTATACTCGTTCCTGATAGTTGATTTGGCCAGCCCTGGAAGAGACGATCTTCGCGTGGCCGGAGCATCTCAGGGATCAAGCACTTATTGTCCGCTGCCGTTGTAGATGAGGCGGTTGGTGGTGTTGCTGCCAGGGCTGCGGATAACTGGCTGAGCCATCTCCTTGATGGTATTGCAGAGCGAGCCACCAGAGCCACGGCCAAGGCCGATGAGATAAGCACCAAGACCAGCGACGTGGGGAGAGGCCATGGAAGTTCCGGACAAGGTCATAGAGCCACCGCCAACCCTGGCAGAGATGATCTCGGCACCAGGACCATAGACATCAACTGTATGAGGGCTGTTAGGCTACTTCTATTTCTCCAGAATCGATGATGGAGCGAACAACTTACCGACTTGCCCAAAGTTGGAGAAGGAAGCCTTGCCGTCTTGTCTCGTAGAGGCAGCGACAGTGCAAACTGATGGCTCAGAGGCCGGGGAGAAGCTGCGAGCATCTCGCTTGGAGATTGTTAGCTGAGGACTGGTCACATTGATTGCGGGATCTATCAACTCACGTTGTCGTTACCGGCAGCAACGGCAAGGAAGACGCCAGCTTGGACAATTGCGGCAGCAGCTTGGTTGGTAGCCTGGGAGAAACCACCGCCCAAACTCATGTTCATGACAGATTTGTCAGCGCCGGTTTGTTGGGCGTGTTCGGTAGCCCATTCCATTCCCATGATGACACCGGAGTTGCTTCCGCTTCCGTTGCAGTCAAGAACCTTGACAGCAATCAGGTTCGCCTTCTTGGCAACACCGAAGGTGGTTCCAGCAGTGGTGCCAGAGACGTGAGTGCCGTGGCCATTGCAATCCTCGTCCATGTTGTCAACGGTGTTGACACCCCATTTAGCACGTCCACCGAAGTCCTGGTGGTCGATATCAATACCAGTGTCGATAACATAGGCAGTGACACCCTCCCCAGCGGTAGAGTCATAGTGGTATTCGGTGCCGCCAGGGCGCATAGAACCAACACGGGCAAGACCCCAGGATGGCACATTGGGCTGGGTTTCGATTTCGTTGATCGTCATGATCTGGTCACGCTCGATAAATGCAACCTATATTCCCCTAGAAGTCAGCTATCGAATTTCTTTGGTAGATGAAGGACCATATGGGCTGCTCCTCACGTCATCGCGGTTCGCAATCTCTTGGATTGTCTCCTCGTCGAAGGTGCCAGAGTAGCCTTTGAGGGTAGTCTTGTAGGTGTGACGCATTCCGCCAACGTTGGTAGAACCACGGCGGGCGAGACGTTCATGGTGGAGCTGGGTCACCCAGTTACGGTGAGAATCGAAGTCCTGGCTGGAGACGCCATCCTTCATCACCACGATGTATCCATTGGGGACGGTCTTTACGCCGGGGGCCGCGGACAGGATCTTTGCCGCATCGACGGAGAAAATCGCCAGGGCGAGTGGAAGAAGTGTGCTGAGGAGAACCATTGTGAAGAGCCCGGGTTAAGAACGTGTTGCTGCTTAAGTCTGGATTGCTTTGGTCCTACACCTCAGCGGGGAGGGGAGAGATATTTTATATTGATCTTTTCGACTCTGAACACCTTGGCGGGCCTTCACATGCGACAGTACTCCGTTGACAGATGACCCCCTCAGGGCAGGGTATGAAATTCCATCCCGATTGGGTGTTGTGCCAACCCGACCTCCAGGGCCAGCTGGTATTATCGCCCTTTGCGCCGGGCGACTTGAGAAGTGGGAAGTTGCAAATACCCCCGTCCACGCGGAGAAAATCCCAGGCTACCCTAGTGACTCCACACCTATGGGGTCCTGGCTATTAAATGGCCGATCCATCAAACATTCCCCTTGATGGTTAACCATCCATACCAGCCTTGTATGATGGAATATCCTGGTCAGAGGGCATCAACACATCACATGGTGGCCTTGAGAAAGGGAGGTCATCGAAAGGTCCAAACAACACAGCTGAAGATCATACTTCGAATCCTTCTTTCAGTCATGGGCTAGGGCCACGGCTCGTTTCGGGTCCATCTCTCAGAGGAATTTTGAATATCAACGGCCAAAGATCTCGAGCGATTAGGAGGGCGCCCGGAAATTAAGATTCGACGATTCGACGCAAGAACGTTGAATATTCAATCTTGACTGGTAGTTTCCCATGTTCCCCAGGCTCAAAGGCACACTAGCACTCTGGACTTGGGGACTCATGGTTAAAGTCTCCAAGGTAGCGTTGAGCGCACTGATCTTCAGCATCATGTGGATAGTTTCTTGCCTTGCCCATCCTGTAGATCGAAAATGGGAGGGTGCTGACGATGATAGGTTCAAACTGTGGAAATGAGCCCCATTTTTCGAAACACCCAATGACCAGACACGGCCCCGGGGTCAGGGCGGAGGAATCTGGTGCCTCTCCTCAAAACATCGTAATTTGTGTGTGGCCTGTCGATCATCCGAGCAGGGATGCTAAACCTTATCCGGTACGGAATTATTCCAGAATCTAAGGGCATTCTATCTGCAACTGGGAGGTAAGGGGGGCTCTTTTCGGTTTCGGGGACATTAGGTGTATCACTATCACCCGGCCCTGTAGTCACGACGGTTTTCGAACGATGTCTGGTGTTTCTGCTTCTAAACGTACGATGTTTCAAGCGACCAGTTACAGTTGCAAACAACGCTCTGTCGAAGCAGCTCTCCACGGTGCTAAGAGAAGTTCTAGCATATCGTCTAGACTTCCAAAAGGGTTTAATCTGATAAGGCTTGTTTCGCTCAGAGCTTGTCGAGCCGCGCCGCGTAAACCCCTCTTTCTTAGCTCAGTGCGACATCAGACAGCAGACAGCCGTATGGAGACGTCGCCATACCCAGACACTGAAGTGTGCCATATCGGTATTCCCCCCTCCAATTCAAAATCTTGTTTACTCAGGTGTGGTTGGCTACCACTAATCAAACACCTCGTCGCCGTTACACTGTGCGTTGTTTAACCTCGCTCCCGTGGGCGAGCATACCTGAAGATTGGCGGAGGTGGTGAGTCCGGGAAAGGCCGAAAAGCCAAAACAGAGTCTCGATGTAACCATGGCCCGCTGCCTCTGGCGATAACCACTGCCTTTCAAGCTACGATCATCGATGCGGAGAGGGTTGTCTTTTGACACAGTCCGCTGAATGTGGGTGCTTGATAGTCGCGGCCTGAAGATGCCAAGGCACAGGGCCTGGCAACAGAGAGTCGAGCCTGGGGTTGACATACCTGTTCACACGTGGAGGCTTGCAGTCCCCCGCGTAGAGGTTTCGCGGTCTGAATTGTTTCAAGGGGCGACCAAGGATGGCCCATCGAAGTCGATGAGAGTATGCTGACTATAGTTGTCGAAACCAGTCGAAGCGGGGTGTTTACATTGCAGGGGGAGCGAGGTCGAGTTTCCCACCCAACAACAGCGATCAAAGTGGAACAGGGAGACCCGCGAACGGTTCTCGAAGCAACTCCCGATCTGCGCTTGGAACCCTCGCTAACAGTTCTTTGCGTGGCGGGGGCACGGGCAGTGCTTCGAAGGCGATCATCAGCGTGAACTGTCAGCTAGATGCTATATATGGTCTGCGGGCCATTTGTTCATTACTATAAAACTCGAAGCAGGCGGCTCCCTCGCAAGGGTGTTTGTTTCGTATGACGCAACGATCGCTAGTAGGATGCAAGATGCTTGTCCCTGCAGCAACAAGACCGGGTATTTGTATCGGCGACATATTGTAGCCGCGCGGCACGACACAATATTAACAGGGCCTTGGTCGGCCTCCAAAGTCGAGATGGCTCGTGAGCAAATGGCACTTTCCACGACGTTGAACGAAGTAGGGAGCAAGAGCAAGCAGACAATCTACGGGCTTGTTGAACCCCTTTTATGGGGAATTTCGGCAGGTACATTATGGCAAAGTTGGGGGCTCCAGCAGCGAAATAGTAGCTGCTGTTGCATAGTTACGTGAGTACAGGCATATTTGCATTCCTCCTTTAATCCACTGTCTGCGGCATGAAGCTGCTCCTGGTTGTTTCGGTGTTTTTGACATCGGCATTCGGCGCAACTGCCGCTTCACTGGGATCGGAGTACAATGGCTACAAGGTCTTCCGCATCCCGACGACGGAGGAGAATCACGCCAGAGTGGTTGATCTCATCAATGAGTTGCATCTTGACACATGGAAGTTCCCGAAAAAGGTGGGATTCGCCGCAGACGTTGTGGTTCCACTAGAACAGATCTCTTCCTTCGAGAAGGCTACCGCCGGCTTGACGATTGAAGTGATGCATGAGGACCTTGGTGCGTCCATCGAAGCCGAATCTGCTGTTGCGAGTACGTTTGAAGGTACGGTGGACTCCAGGCTGGACTGATGGGCGGAGAAGATGCCGGCTAATGACGATCGTCTCTAGCGGGAAATCCTAACAGTACCTGGTTCGACACCTATCATAGCTACGAGGAACACCAACAGTTCCTGAAGGATCTGCAAACCCAATACCTGTCGAATTCGGAATTGATTATCGCAGGTAATACGTATGAGGGGCGCCCAATCCAAGGCATTCATATCTGGGGAAGCCGCGGCAAGGGCAAACCCGGGGTGGTTTGGCATGGAACTGTCCACGCGCGAGAGTGGATTACCACGATGGTAACACTCCCTTTAACCCTTCTTGACGATCTGTTCAGCATATCACAGGTCGACCAGGGCTTTTTGGATTAGTTATTCACAGATATCCTCCAGGTCGTCGAATACCTGACATGGAGTTTGCTCTCGCAGCAAAACGACCCGGCGGTAAAAGGCATTCTCGACAAACATGACTTCTTCATTTTCCCAATCGCAAATCCAGATGGTAAGTCATTCAGCAATCCCGCACAGCATCCCGCCTATGTGTAAATAGCCACTAACGCAGGCTAATTAGGCTTTGTATTTTCGCAGCGAGTGCGGCGACTATGGCGGAAGAGTCGTCAGCCGAGTAAACTTCTTTGCGTTGGAACTGATCTCAACCGCAACTATCCCCATCAATGGGGCGAAAGGGGCTCTTCTGCGCGCCTGTGTGCCGCAACATTTCGAGGTACCTTCCCTTGCCTCGCTGACACTGCAGATGTTGCCACCTTTGAGACTGAAAAGGTAAAGCTGACCGTTTTTGCACAGGATTGGGCCCGGGAGACGCACCGGAGGTCCAGGCACATATCCGCGTGATGCAGGACATTGCTCGATCTCAAGGAGGCAAAATGTATGTCGACTGGCACTCATACTCCCAGCTGTTCTTGACCCGTAAGTATTTTTTGTTGTAGTTTGAAGCTCTTGGGCTGGCTAAAATTCCTCCCTTCTAGCCTATGGCCATAGCTGCGACAAACGAGCATCAAACCATGAGAAGCACATGGAGCTCGCAAATGTTTTTGCGCAAGCACTAGGAGCAGTTCACGGAACTGCGTTCAAAGTTGGACCGACATGCAACACCCTCTATCAGATCAGTGGAGACAGTGTTGACTGGGCTGTTGATGTTGGCAAATTCGAACTGGCCTTCGCGGCTGAGCTGCGCGATACAGGGTGGTATGGGTTTATTATTCCACCTCAGCAAATCCGGCCCAGCGGCGAGGAGGCCTGGGCGGGTATCAAAGCTCTGATGGAAAGGATGTAAGTATGGGATAAGATGTGTCCGTCGTCCCAGTAAGCCAAATACGGGTTCCAGAGAGGAGCTGGAAGGTACTGAGTTTGCAGATATCATTGGTTTCAATGATATCGAGATTGTGGAAGGCCGTTTTCTAAGAAATCGTTCGGTTCTCCCTAGCCGACCAGCCCAAAGGTAAGCAGGCAATTGTCAGCGAGCATTTGCAAAGGCATGAGGGTGTTAAAATGCATGAGATGGTTTTGTGATTTCGCCTTGGGAACAGGATAATCAGTTGAGATTGTAGGCGAGTATATAATAATAGTCAGACGGCACTGCAGCCGAGTTGGATGTTGGTGGTTTGGGGCCTCTCTTGGCGCGTACTTTCGTGGGCATCAATCAGAAGTAAACGGGACTGAGAAGCAACCATGCCAGTCCGCAACAACATCACCAGCCATCGTTCTGAGAACTGTGCGGCTTCATTGCTCTATTGATACTCCGCGCATAGCCTATCCATCAGCCTTCTTCTATCGCTCCCCTATTAACCACGAGGCATGCCTTCAAATGTTGAGATTGCCTCGTCATTCGTCGAGGGTGCCCCTCCCGGAGAGGTGCGTCCGGACAGCCTCTCCAACGACCCTGATTCCGATGCTTGCTCCTTGCACATGCTGACTCTGCGTAGCTCAATGATGTCGTTGCAGGTAATACCCGCTATTCTCGATCTTTGCTCTCCGTCGATCATGGACGCCCAACGGGGTCTTTTGAAGGAGAGCTCACGTCTAACTCGGCTGTCATGGGAGCGCAACAGATATAAAAGCACTTACCTCTGATGACCCTGGCATTATTGCTTCGCTTGAGCCTGCGTTCCGGACGTACAACGAAACACAATTGACGACGACCAAGTTGGCGGGCGGCAGCCAAGAGGTACGAAATCCCGGCGCGCTCTGGTTGAACGCACCATATACGGACAAGCTGAGGACCTAACCGCCTCGAGATCTGCAGGTCATTGTGAGCTCGTATAATACGTTGGAAGATGGTCGATATTACGATGTGGAAAGCCAAACGTCATTCGAGTTTGACCATATCACTCGGGCAAGTTCATCTCGCGCCAATTTGTTGCTTGTATTCCCGTGTCCTAACAGTTGGCCGACATTATACAGACCGCTTCTGCCCCAAAATCCCATCCGCTAGAATCGCCAAATTCAGATCTCATGTACGTTTGTCCACCCGCGCGGCGCAATCTGCCAATGATCGTTTGCATCCCCGGTTAACCACTCCTCACCACAGTAAATCTCTTTTGAAATCACTATCCTCACATGCCCAGGAACATTTCCCAAGCTGCTCCTATGGTGTTTACCCTACCGACGACTCCTCAGTGACCATACTCTTGGTTGCTAATAAATATTCGCCCAACAACTTCTGGAACGGCCGCTACCGCGCAGTTTACCAAGTCCCCATTTCGTCTCCCGCGACTATCACAGGCAAGAGCCACGTCGCCGTTCATTATTATGAGGACGGGAACGTGTCCCTCAACAACACGAAACCAATCTCCATTCCCCTGCAAAACACGTCAGCAGACACGATCATCAAGCGGATCGCCGCGGCGGAACGAGAACACCAGCAAGAGCTAAATGAGGCTTTTGGTAGACTCGCGGAGGGTGCATTCAAGGGATTACGCCGACAGTTGCCGATAACAAGACAAAAGGTCGAATGGGAGAAAGTTGGTGGGTATAGATTGGGCCAGGATATTGCTGGTGGAAGAGGTCAATAGGCGATGCAATGATTATGTGGTTTAGAATTATAGCATATGGAAACGTCTCTAACGGTCTATGGTACCTTGCGTACTTATTTGGCCGGATCCAAGCCCCTTATAGCCCAATTTCCATTCCTTAAGAAGTGGTACATTGCTACACGACATTGAGATTTTACCCGAAAACTATTCGATCTAAAAAGCATAACCATGTCTGACACCCCAAAACGTCCATCTAAAGTCAGGATTCCGTAAGAATGCTTCTATCCGACCAGAACTCGCATTCTTTTTCGCTCCACTTATTATCTGCCATCTGAGCCGCAATACCAACATGTCCGCCACCGGCTCGCTCATCGTTCCCTTCCCCAAGTACCATCACACTCTTCGAGGCTTTCGCCTTGAAAGGAGTCCATCTTGGTCGGTCCGCATACTTGCCTTGGATCTTATTAGGGTCACCATTTGTAATGAACGATGTAAAGTACGCATGGATATATCCCGCAATTTTTTCTTGGGCGTCGGAGAGTCTGCGGACATACGGACTGTAAACTTCGTATTCAGATTGGTCTCCATGGCTTGCGCCCCCCTTGACGGTCTTGTTGAGTGCCCAATGGTACAAGTAAACAGGGGCGTCTTGGGCTTCAGACGCCAGTTGCGCCGTTTGTCTGACGGGGCAGATGTACGCGAATTGTCCGTATGCAGCTGTGGCTCGTTTGTATTGTGCACCAACGTCGATATCGCGCCCGTCGACATAGGGGGACTCTGGATGCTTGAGGGGATCCGGGTAGAGATGGTTGAGGATTTTGGTGTCTGAAGCGGGTAGAGGGGGGATAAGGGCACGGAAGAAGTCAGTGAATTCTTCTGATTTTTCCATGTCAGAAGGTACGAATGGGGCGCCCTCGTGGGTGTTGAAGCCAGTCAGGATGGGAACTTTGTTCCATTTCCCAGACTTCCAGTTCTTAATGGGCGCGTCTTTTATTATTTCCCCGTCGATAACGGGCTGGAAAGCCCATCTATCGGAAGGATTATAGTGGTTGAAAATGCTCTCTGAAGCACGTGCAATATCATACATAGGTTTGCTTTGCAGGCAAGTTATTATTTCATTTTCAGGGAGGTTGGAGCATCTAGCCTCTGCAAGGAATTCTCGGAATTGCTTTTCATGCAAAGGATTATCGGGTGGGTATACGGCCCGGGAGGTTGTTGCGCCAGACTCGAGGACTGCTCGGCTGAAAAGTTGTTGACCGCTATTATGCATGACATGATGCCCGATCTACATGGGTCAGAAGCGGATTCAAAGCCCCGTAGGGTGAGAGGAAGGTAATCGTACTGAATGAGCACCAGCCGACAATCCAATTAGGGTTACTTGGTTGGGGTCTCCGCCAAAAGCTCCAATGTTTTCCTGAACCCATTTGAAGAGGAGGATCTGGTCATGGAGTCCTAGATTTAGTATCTTTTCCTTTGCGGTAACAGTCGATGGGAGAAACCCCAAAGCCCCAAGTCTATAAAGCGATTAATATTTGTAAAGTTGATGGTCTGAATGGCCAGACGACACACCTGTAATTAAAATTTACAATAATGAAAGGCTCTTCAGACCATGATAGCATGTTTGCTGAACTGTGGAATTTGCCTAGTTTGAAGAATATCTGAGCTAAGTGAAGTGGGACATGATACGGGCCACATACCGGAGCCGCTATTAAAAGCTCCGCCATGGACATAGATGGCAACTGGTAATTTCCTATTTTTAGGGCCATCCTTCAGCCTGAACACGTTTAGATTCAAACAATCCTCGCCCCAATCATTCGAAGGCCATGTCAGCGGCCCGGAGGGACATCTAGGGAGTGAGAGTAAGCCGAGCGATCGCGAGACGCGCCGATAAGGGTGCCAACGTCCAGGCAAACAGCGTAGGAATAGTACCTTTTGCCATATTTAGAGGCGTGGATAATGTCACTGGATGGTTTCACAGGTTGGGGGCGCTTGAATCTCCTTTCTCCAGTTGGAGGTTGCGCATACGGAATTCCGAGGAATGCTTCAATTGGGCGAGGCAATGTGCTGTCGATCAAGACCGTGCCGACGACAGTGCCCTGAGAGATCTCTACCGACGATGCAACGCTCGCAAAGAGATACGACAGTAGTAGATGGAGCCAGGAAGGCAGGAAATCGAGGTGCTGTTCCCTGAGCCACGGCCAATGCCAGTATCTGGTAGCCAAAGAGGGAGACCACAGAAATATCGCATAAAGCGAGAGACCCAGGCAGACTGTAAGGAGGAAGACTTGCTTCCGGCGCCAGAGGAAAAGCCACATGATGCCAGCGCCAACGTGGGAATACGTGCTGCTTGGGAGTGATGGCACGGCTTAGTCTTCGTCGACAGGCAGACTCTGCATTGTCAAGCAGTGAGTAAACCGAGTGCGGGCTGGAATCCCGCTCGCTCGATGATGGGAATATCACACTCGTTGTCTCTAATGCTTTGATGCGCGATGCGTGATGAAGTTAGTTCCTCGCCGGATGTTCCAAGAACCGCAAGCCGCACTATGCCTTTCCCGGCCTAAACAACCACAACCTCCATCTTCAATCATCACCAGTCGCTGTCGAACATGAAGCCACTATCAAGATTCAAGTCCCTGATACCATCCTTGCGCTGTTTGTGTCCTGGGCTCTTGCTTGCTAACATAACTACTGGTCATGGCCTGAAGATAACCTGCTAACTAAACTACAGCTAGTTCGTTAAGCCGAGGCTATTCAGCAGATTTGAGCCGACACTCTCCGCCGAACCCCTTTACGCTGCTTTCCTTTTACTTGATGATAAGAGCCCTACATTCATTTGGGTATGATGTAAGGGAGCTCTGTGCCGCAAGAACAATGCATATCTCCCCCGACCCTGATCAATATCATGGCTCACCGCGATTTTCACAAGATCCAAGCGAATAGACTCTTCAACCCCACACCATTTCGACAAGCTAGTTAGTTTGCCGAGAGGCGCGGATATATGGACGTTATGAAGGCTAGGGGCCAATTGCTCCCTCCGATTTCCTTCCAACCCACTACTTATGTGGGTATCTTCTCCACGATCCTCGAAAACGGCGCCATGGCCTGTCGTAGTTGATAACTACTAGGGGAAAGGAAGGCCCTTCCTCGGCGCTCTGGCTGGCTCCTCAACAGAGCCAAACCTCGGTAGCCACTCCGGCCAGTTTATACCCGTATGCTAGTTATCATTGGTATTTGCTTGTTTAAAATGGGCGTTGCTGGTCGTGAGCCAGACCGATGGCTTTTCAGCAATCACTTTCTAGCTTTGGCGCATTTGTTTTCGTACTTTGAGCTCTTTATCCGCTTGTCTCAAGCCTTGCATGATGGGAACTCATGGAAGAATTCCTGTGGTGATTGGTGTCGGCGACATCAAAAATGGCTCCAAGAGCATCGAGGATGCACATGAGCCATTGGGCCTCATTCTGCAGGCGATTGAGAGGGCGATACAGGATTCCGGTATCTCACACAGCGCGGCCCAGGAACTCCAATCAAGCATCGACAGTGTGGACGTTGTCAAAACCTGGACTTGGCCATATCCAGATCTTCCAGGTCTAATCGCTCGGAAGTTGGGGGTACAACCCAAACATACATTTTATAGCGAAAATGGCGGGAATTCACCTGGGAAACTATTTGATGAGGCCGCTCGCCGTGTCTCTTTGGGGCGGAGCAAGGTTGCGGTGGTGACAGGTGGTGAAGCGCTTGCTTCTCGTATGTAACTATCATGCTTGAATACAATCCTTCTGGGGTTACTGAATCTCTGTCGTGTTTCAAGTCGAAGCCTTTGCACGAGCAAAAAAAATTCCGCCGCCTGGCTGGACAGAGCCAGATGAGGCCGTCACTGGGGTCTTCTCTGTGAAGAACGTGAAATTGAAAGAAAGTCAGTTCATCAGCGCATTCACCTAATCTATCGACTCCAGTACAGAATCTTACGCTTTGTTAGACCTGGGTGCGATGCACTCCATCGGACTACCTGTTCATGTTTACCCACTGTACGAAAATGGATTCAGAGCACATCGTCGCCAGTCCCTGGAAGAAAACAATTCGGAATCGGCTCAATTGTATGGCAGTTTTGCCAGAATAGCTGAAGGAAATCCCGTTGCCTGGAGTCACGGAAAACCCGCTGAAACCCCTCAATCAATAGGAACCGTAACAAAACGCAACCGGCTTATCTGCTTCCCATGTATGGTATCCTCTATGCATCGTCGAACTAAAGCTGACCAGCGGGTTAGACCCCCTCTTGATGAATGCATTTAATACGGTCAATCTCGCTGCAGCGTGTCTGCTTACCAGCACTGAATTTGCAAGCAAACTTGGTATCCCTGAAAGCAGATGGGTCTATCCTTTGGGCGGAGCCGGAACCGCTGATAGCAATAACTGTAAGTATGATGCAATTCCCAATGATCCTGCTATAGCAGCCCATTTCCTTGAACTATGCGTTTAATAAATCTATACAATATAGTTTGGGAACGGCCAAATTTCTATTCCTGCCCTTCTATTTCTAGATCGCTAGATTCCGCGTTGGATTTATCTGGGTTGGACAAAGGAGATATTGATCTTTATGACTTTTACTCGTCGGTGCCGCAACTCCTCATACCCTCTACAAACTCCTTTATTCACTGTTTCAACAGCTGTTTTCCTATCGTCCCCAAGCTCGCTTGCCAGCATCTAGGCTTGCCGATCATTGACGCGCAAAAACCGATCACACTCCTAGGAGGTCTAACGTCATTTGGAGGAGCTGGCAACAATTATTCCATGCATGTAAGTCGTAGAGAATCGGGGTTTGGGACATTGCGCCCTGTGGGCTTTTCCCTAATGCTGCATATAGGCAATCACAGCTATGGTTCGTCGGCTGAGAGAGAGCACCGGACGCCGTTGCAACGGACTGGTCTTAGCCAATGGCGGAGTACTCACATACCAGCATGTTGTTGTGCTTTCTTCCCAACCTCGAAAAGACGGACTCTCGTACCCGAGCAAAAACCCGCTTCCTGATGTTTTGACGGACGAGGAGGTCCCGGTCATCGAAAGCAACCCGGAAGGCAAAGCTGTGGTCGAGACCTACACTGTTGAATTCAACAGAGACGGCACTCCCTACCAGGGATATGTAGTGGGCCGACTGAAGAGCAATAACCATCGATTTATCGCCAATCATGCGGATGACGATAGCTTGAATCGCCTTTGCAGCATATCGGAAGAAGTGATTGGGAAGACTGGTTGGGTTAGGGCCGATCCGAACCAAAAAGGAAAAAATTTATTCAGCTTTGAAAGAGTTGGAAAACTGTGAGGAAGGTCACCTTCATGCCTCTGATGCGATTGCTATGTAGAGTATCTATGCGAATTTCTCCCGTCATATCTCTATTGCCCAATATGTCCCAATGAATCGTAAGTTCATCAATTTAAAATTGGACTTGATCTTCCTGGGGCTTTTGTGCATGCAGATCGACAGCAACCGCCAGTTGCAAATCATTTTGGCGATCGCTGGCTTCAGAAGCTGCCAGCAAAAAGATGTGGCTGGCTGGACCATCCAAATGGCTATATAAGTAGCGATTGAGATAACAAAGATGATTTTGAGCCATGAAGGCTATCACAAGATGAATATCTTGGACCATGAGCGCCTCTGTTACAGAAAATTCAAAAAAAGTTAATCAATGGGAGGAAATATTCCACCATTCAGGTTTTGCATGTTGTGTGTGGGTGAGCTGCCATCGAGACTGTCTCACGCAGCATCACTCGGGGCAAAATTGCTCAACGTGTGTATGGATTTTGCCCTGGATGCTGCGGCCATGCAGAAACCGACGGACGGGTAACACAGGTGAGCGATCAAATCTGTGCCACCACTAATTATTCAAAACGAGAACTCGAGGGAATGGGTTCTAGATCGTTGACGAATTTCGAATGTGTATTCGGTGAGGACAGAGGCAGCCGGACGGATGATCAACGATACGGCCGACTCTCCAATCTGTATGCTGTTAACGTCCCTGATATTAGCAGGCTGGCGCGATAAAGCAGCCAGGACAACGGCAGATATCAGAAAACCATGACAAGCTAGTTGCAGTTTGCCAACCTCAACTGTGGTGGTGGATGGGTCCAACGCTATGAGGTTTCTCCCGCCTCTTCACGAAAAGTCTTTGGGTACGTCTGTTCTCACCGGATAAACCCTGCACATGAATGCAAAGTTGGCGACATTGAACCGAGGAGGAGATTCAAGCTCGAGCCGACTGAAGGTGTCGCAGGGCAGAGAGCTAATCACAGCTATCCCACATCACCCGAAATTCCAAACATCAAGAGGCAAGGTCACAGGAGCCACAGAGCCAGCAGCTGCCCGCGCATCAGATGCAGGGAACGACAATGACAGCAGCTGAAAGAGGAGGAACCCGGGTCTGAGTCCCAATCAGCAAATGAAATCGCCATGTTTGCGTGCCCTCCACAAGGCATGCATTGAACCTGCGACCTGGAGTTGGAAACCAACGAGGGAAGCGAAGGTTCTTATCAATAATGCATCCCTCGGGCGAGCTGCATCACCCAGCAAGGGCGAAAGAGAGGAGAGCAGCATCGAAGCTCCGAGTCTCGCGGTTTGGACCACGGCGATACGAGCACGAGGGAGTGTGTGGGTGGTGCCCCTGCGGCTTTGCTCCCCAGCACACCGGTCTGACGTGCACCATGGCAACCGGGGTCTCTCGACGAGACTTGGCCCGGTCTTCCGGCCAACCCGCAGACACCAATCAAGCGAGCAAACCCATCCGTTCCATGCGCGTTAACTCGAGCTGATATCGACCAGCAATTCCGCTCTTTTTGCTGTTTTTATCGCGATGTCGAGGCGGTCACGTGGGCCGGCTGGTGTCGGCACGCTTACATAAGAGCCGGGGTTGCGGCGCTACGGGCGGGGATATAGCTGGCTGCTGTGTAAAATGACACATGATGCCGCCCGGTCGCCTGGCAGCAGCTAAAAATACCCGAAGCGCCAGGCGAGAATTGCGGCGACGGCGAGCTCCAGCGGCCCCGGCGGATGGAGGCAGCAGAGAGTCAAAAGTGCGGGAACGCTGGCTGCAGCCACTCCAGCGCCGTCGATTAGTATTTCTGCTTGCTGTCGGGTTGCCGCAACTAGCCGGCCTGCTCGGCCACAGATAAAAAGGGCCCGTGGAATCTGCTGCAAAAACGCTGCATTAGCATCACCTTTTTCTTCTTTCTCGTTTTTCTAGCACTGGCTTGCTGGCACTGTGCAGAGCACTCCTCTCAGGCTATTCCGTTGCTGGCTGTCTTGCTCCTGATACCTCGTCGGCTCTCTGTGTGCATCTGACGTCATCAGCGCTGGACGAGTTGAGATGAGAGACAGCAACAGATAAGACGGAAAATAATATCAGAATAAAAAAGGAGGAAAATCAACAGCTATGATCGTGCAGCCGCTTGTTGCTCACCTCTCGTTAGCGAGTGTGGGCGTCGGTTTCCTTGCCGTAACCACCCTCTTGGTACGTTCCTGCAGCATTGTCCCTATACTCGTCGACGCAAGAACCAATTCCCAGAGGATTTAACTGACCAGCATGCTGATGTGGAATCCAGTGCTTCGGATATGTTGTGTACAACAGACTCTTCCATCCGCTCCGGAAATACCCCGGCCCATTCCTTGCAACGGTCACCCCGTGGGTGCAGCTCTATCACGGTTTGAAAGGCGACAGGCATTTGTGGCTCTATGCGTTGCACCAAAAGTATGGCCCTCACGTTCGAGTAGCACCAAATTTCCTCTCCATCAACAGTGCTCGGGGCCTGCATGACATCTACGGCCATGGCAAAAAGGTGAAGAAGGGAGACTTCTACAACGCATTCCCAGCCATCAAGGGCGTGTACAACACGCACAACGTGATCGACAAGCATGTCCACGGCAGAAAACGACGGGTTCTGAGCCAGGCTTTCTCTGATCAGGCCCTCAAGGGCATGGAAGATGTCATGCTCGTCAACATCCGCCAGTTCTGTGCCATCATGGCTGGTGATGAGCCTTCCCTTGATTCAGGCGCTGCAAAGACAGAGAGAGGCTTGGTTGTCCGCAATATGGCCGACTGGTTTGGATATTTGACCTACGATGTGATGGGCGAGCTGTGCTTCGGAAAGAGCTTCGGCATGTTGATTGAGCGCGGAAAACGCCAGGTTATCGGGCTCGTCGACCGAGCTGCTTATCGCCACTATGTGGTAAGTACTCTTCGCTTGTTTTACTCTTGTACCACTTTCCGCGAGCTAATCCAGCGTTTTTAGTGTGGGTTGTGGATGCCTTTGGATCGCTGGCATTTGGATCAGGTTTTCATCCGCAGTTTGACCAACGATCGATGGAATTTCATCCAAAAGTCTCGCGTTGAGGCGAACCAGCGTGCAAAGGAACGTACCCAAGCCGGTCATGAAGCCAAGAAGGACTTCTTCTACTATCTTTTGAACGCCAAAGACCCCGAAACTGGCCGTGGACTCTCGACCCCCGAGCTCTGGGGAGAAAGCAACGTCCTCATGATCGCCGGTAGCGACACCACCTCGACCAGTCTTGCAGCAACTATCTTCTATCTTGTCCGCAAACCGACTGCAATGGCAAAATTGCAAAAGGAAGTTCGAGACAATTTCACCGACGTCGAGGAGATCGTGACCGGACCCAAGCTAAACGAATTGGTTTACCTGAGAGCCTGTATCGACGAGGCAATGCGTCTCGCCCCCGCCGTACCCGGCGCCATGCCCCGTGAAGTTCTGCCCGGAGGCATTGACGTCGATGGGCTTCACCTGCCAGGCGGCGTTGACATTGGAACCCCATGCTACACCATCCACCGCAACGAGCAATACTACCGCGAGCCCAACAGCTTTGTGCCCGAACGCTGGATCGAAGGCGCCATGTGCGAGACCGACAACAAGATCTGGACCTCGTCAAAGGACGACGTGGATGCTGCACGCAAGGCGTTCTGCGCCTTTAGCATTGGTCCCCGAGGGTGCATTGGAAAGGGCATGGCGCTGATGGAGATGCGCCTGACGCTGGCGCGCATGATGTTCCTGTTTGACGTGGAGTTTGCGGATCGCACCGGTGAAGATGCGAATGGGCATCTGCACATGGTCGATCACTTTACAAGTCAGAAACATGGACCGAATGTTATCATCAAAAAGAGACAATCTGTCTAGGGTTGGATTCCGGGGGGGTGACTATTTTTATGGCGGGTTACGGTGGCATGCTGTTGTTGTTTGAACGCTATGGCATGATTGTGACACTTTTTTTTTTTACTTGCTTCTTCTGTATGATATCAAATTTCCATTTTCGCGAGTCTTTCAGCTAGCCGATTCAATATTTGATGAATTGTACAGATGATGAAAACTTCAGCCCGATAAGTATCCTGGGAAGCAAACTGTTGATGAGAGACACAGGCAACTGATTTCACATGGATTCAGCCTGGAAACATATTGACTACGGAGTATCTCTGCCGAATACCTACGTACTATGGTTCAATCGTAGCATTTGCTTTGCAATTCAATATTTGCCCACTTTTCCTTCTCAGTTCATCCAAATGTAGTCCTGTTGACAGTCATTATCATCCAAGTTATAACTATAATTGAAAAAGATCAACCATTTCACGGCTTCTCTCAACTTCACTCATGTCTATTTTGCTGGGATGATTGGGTTCATCTTGCCGAATAATCCACTCGGATCGTATTTCGCTTTGAGCTTCTGCAACCGTTCACCGTTGACTCCATAGATACTGGGGACCACAACATCGCCAGCTACAAGAGTGTCAGCTCGATGCCTCCTTGTCTCTTTTCTTTATTGTGTAGTTGAGAAGTGTTTGGCAAGGGAAAAAGGGGAATAATTGACTTACGTTCGGCATAGTTGATATACTGAGGCACGCCCTCACCACACGATTCCAACCCCTTCCGAGCTTCATCCAATTCCTGTTTGAACAGCATTTGCAAATCGCGAGCCCACTGTCGGTATTTAGCATCGTTGGCTGGATCTTCATACCTCAAGCTCAAAATGCCATTCAAGGTAGTGCCACGGTTGGCAAATGCCGTATCGGTCAATTTGACCTCAAGAGTCTTTCGCATATCGAAAAACTCCAGAACCAGGACAGATCCGGCCATATCAGGCTCATTGTTCAATTTTTGCGCCATGATGGATGCAATACTCCGCGCAAAATCTAGCCTTAGTGGTGGAGAGAAGAACAGTCCCTTGAAGCTCCTGCGACCACCATGGACAGCTGCAGCGTTCATCAACGTATTGACTTCGGAATATGGTATCATTTTGGCATCAGCGACTTCTGGCTTGAGAGCAAACAATCCCTCAAAGCGCCTCTTAGCGTCCTCTTCATTGCCATTGTAGAATACTATCACGATCAAGCTGATATCAGGAGCGCCTGGCCGTTTGGAAAGTGCACATATTGCAGCTGAGTTTTCATCCGGGGTCTGTAGTGTCGCGTTCAACACCTCGATGACACTCTCCAGTTTGTCCATGCTGAACACGAGAGGGCCCGCATAGACTTGGTTCACCTGTTCATATCCCTGGTACACGAATTCAACGGCAACTCCAAAGTTATGCCCTGCCCCCCGGATCGCCCAGAAAAGATCCGGCTCTTCTGTTGCGGATGTGTTTACAATCCGTCCATCCGCGAGCACCATCTTTGCAGAGATGAGATTGTCAATGACAAGGCCGTACTTTGCACTCAACCATCCATATCCGCCGCCCAAGGTGAGCCCTCCAATACCAGTATGATTGACGGTACCACCAACCGTAGCGAGTCCGTGGGCGGCAGCAGTAAGGTCGACATCCGCCCAAAGCGCACCACCTTGAGCAGTGATCGTCTTGCCCACAGGGTCAACCGTGACCTTTCGCATGCGGGAGAGGTCAATTACAAGGCCGCCATCGCTGGAGCTCGTCCCCGCAACGGAGTGGCCGCCTCCCCTGATCGCTAGGTCGATATTGCTGTCCTGCGCGAACCGGACGGCTTTTGAGATATCGTCTGCGTTTGTAGCGAGCAGGACCATGCCCTGAGGTCTCCATCAGCTCCTCTAATTCCCATTGACAGATGTATACGCGAAGTTTCGAATGGCGGACTTACTGCGCGCTTCACTGCTGCGTCCGACCATCTCTTAATAGCATCTTCGTAGCCGGGCAAGGATGGAGTCAGTATCTCGGAACTCCCCAGCTGCGACCGCAAAGCATCGATATGCTCCTCTGTCACCGTGGTCTTATTCGGCGCCATTGGGGGTGAATAAACGTCAGATCGCAGGGCAACTAGTTGAAGAGAGGAAGGACTTGCTGAAGGGATCTGAGCTGGTTAGCAAGACAATAGAAATGTGCCACGACGAAACGACGTCGACCCGACAGCAGGGGGTGAATGCTCAAGAACCATAGAGCAGATCGCCATCTTGCTCGATAACTATGGCTGGCGGCGTTCGACCGCTCCAGAACAACCCCTCGTATTGGCGGCGGTGCGGAGTATGTGCTGAGGGGCATCGCGATTCGCGAACAAGCGGACTAGTCGCAGTCGCGAATCTACCAGATGGAGATAGACTGGGCTGCGCCTCTGGAAACGCATCCAGTGTCTTTGGTTTTGGATATTGTTATTACAAGTTACTGGCATTACGATGACTGCCCGATATAATTCTATTTATTTACTGCTAGCGCCCTACTCGCTTCAGCTCAATATCCCGCTCTCCCCGCTCAGGGTCATTTTGGCCTTCGCAATACCGCACGGAGACCTGGGTAGTTTTTCTGATCGTATTCGAGAATTCCTCTTCTTCTGTCGGCATGTTTTCGTCCCAAGTGGCCCTCCTCTCGCCCTCGGCACTCGTATACATGCCATAATCCCGCGCCAGTTGCTCATCACTTGACCCAATCTTCGTCCAGTAGCCAGCGACTTCCCTTCCGCCTGTAGGGGCAGCTCTCCGCCCTCCTGGGATTGGTTTTTGGCTTCCCAGGCTCTGGCCTGACCCGTACTTGGTGTTTGTTAGGTGCGAAGACACCCAGGGGAAGATGCGCGAGAGGGGGCGCCAGAGGGTAGGCATGCAGGCGCAGATGATGCCAAGATTAATCTCGATGACGGTCCACATAGAAGAGCCTATGTTGGTCCACGGCGTGTCAAGATGAGACGTTGCCACGTTGAGGGTGGTGAATCGGAGCACAGATGTTATACAGACACTATTGTCGATGAGTATTCACCCTCAAGGAGAAAAACGGGCCCAGGTGATACTGACAAGATACCAATAGTAAACACACTAGCGACTGCAATTTTGGTTTTTATCGGCGAGTGCAGTTTGCTGACCACCGGAATCGGGAGGGCAATGATGACCACATCGCTCAGAATATTGAAGACGGCGTTGGCGTACCAGAACGCTGTAAGGTTGAGACAATGTCCGCCGCCGGGGATCTTTTTGTTGAACGCATACTGTACTGGGGTGCACTGGAAGATGCTCGAGAAGACGGTGCCCACGGTAAATGCGATAATAACGCTGACGCATGCCCAACATGTTTTCCTGAACCACGGCTGGATAAAGACTTTGATGTAGAGGAGCAAGATGCTGATTTTGGTCAACCCGATATTAATCTTGTAGAAAATTTGAGCATAAAAGTAAAGCTGAGAGAGAGAGAGAGAGAGAGAGTTAGTGAGACATGATTCGGTGCACGGTTTCGTCTAGCAGGTGATGAAATACCGTCAGCGACCTGGCCAGTATGTTCGGGTCGATCCTGTTGATATCATCTTTGTGTTTGCCAAAAGCCCACATGCAGACTGCGAAGGTGTTAGCTGGGCGCACCATATCGCCTACAGCGTGAACTACTCACTGATTATCATCTGAATCGAAATCACCTCTGAGAAGACCTAACAGCGCTAGCGCATTAGAAGATATTCCAAGCAGCTCCCCGCACACTATCTCGAGGGAAAGACGGCTCAAGAGTCGGGGAAAAGAGAAAAAAGAAACTTCAAAGGCAGTTGTTACCGCAGAGGCCAAGATAACCCAATCATCAGCGCCAAACCGTTTGGCAAAGACCTTCCGGCTCCAGAATCTTGCAATGATAAATAACGGGGTCACGATTGTGAAAACCAGAGCGGGAATCGCCAGCTTATCCGAGATGTCCTCAATGTCTCCATAGTGACTGAAGAACGGCATGATACCGAATCAACCAAAAGGGGCCGTCATAGATCGACCATGATGAAGCAGAGAGAAAAGGAAGCAGGCACCCGGAGGATTGAGTAGCAAAGCATTCAGTATAAGGAGTTCATTGGAAGGCCGTATGGCCTGTCCTTGGGGAGCACAGGAACAAAAAATAGCAGCAGTCAGCTATGATCAAAATTTTCTCTATAACCCTGCTTGAGTTTCAAGAAATGAGCTCGAACGTGCATCTCATCCGTGCGGGTCCCGGGGTATAGCAGTTTTCTCGTGTGAAATCGCAGTCGATAGTCCAGGAGGCACATCCCGCATCCAAGGGTGGGGGAGCAGGGCAGGCGAGCCATCCTCCTTTTCTCTCAAGGCAAATAAGAAAAGCCCTGCGGCCCTCTTGCTGGGCGCTGGAAGGGTCACAGAGAGCTGACAAACCGTGTGACAGCAGACGACCTTGGTTGCTCTGTTGTCTGTTGTCTGTTGTCCCGGGACGCTGGCACATTGTCGCATAGCGGCGGAGCATCCGCTCGCTCCGCTCAGCAGAAAGTGTCCGAGGCGGGCCCACGGATCAAAGTGCTTTTTCTTCTTACGACCTGATCGAATAAATGGATAAATCATGATGAAGGGGGGGGCCAATGACCCGATCGACGTGGAGGAGATGGACGTGCAGGTGGTTCGCGGAGCCAAGACGGGAGACAGCGCGACTCGACGGGGGTCCGGGTGTAACGCTTGCAGGCCGGATTGGCGTGGGCGTCGCGGCCGACGGGGGCGGCGATTGGCTGTGGCCACGGGGGCTTCCAGGGTTCCGAGTCCCTAAAGCCCGCTAGGCAGAATCAGGCCGAGCGCCCCCAAACACCCCAAGCCGGCCCCCGGAGCAATCCCTAAGCATCCCTGGGCGCTGGCTGCCCGGCAAAACCTCGTGCCTTTGTCGTCTCACCGGCCATGTACCGGCTACATCGACCTCCTCGATGCCAGGGAATCACGGCGCTGGACAGGATACCAATCACCGAGCCGCCGTGGCGCCGGATCCTGGTCTGTGTATGCAGCCACGAAGGAGTCTCAGGAGCCGTGGCCTTCCCACCCCGTCGTGGCCATGGATGGGAGCAGGTCTCTGCAACGGCAACAAGGGTTCAAATACCACAATGGCGCAGCGGCCAGGGGTTCAGAAGAATGCCCTCTCTTTGCTTCTTCAACGCCAACATGGCCTGCGCAGTCTGGCCTTTGATTCCCCACGAACATGGAGGTTCACAACGCGAGTTTTGAAACGGCTGAGCCCAGCTAACTAGTTGATAGCTCTCTGCAACTGGAATCAGGTGCCGGCTGTTGGTTGATGCATGCGTGTTCCGCGTCTGCTATCGCGTGGCTGGTCTAATATAGCGCCCGGCGCCATCAGCTTCTCCTTTGGAATATTTACGAACGGAAATATAAAAACGCCTTACATGCAAGAAATGATAGGCTCGTTAAAGGCTGACGGGCATTAGCTAGCTTGCCGGTCCCGCTCGAAGGCGCTTGAGAGTTGACATCGGACTTTTGGACGCAATCTATCCCATTCTCAGTCCAGGGATTTGACTGGCGAAGATGGGATCTTGGGTCTGAGTCGCTTCCAGATGGAAAAAGAACCGATCGGAACATCTCTCCCGCAAACTACTGGGATCTGGGATTCCCGAGTCAGACGGTCTAGAAACTGAACAGGTGGTTGGGAAATTCCCCCAGGCGCGAGAGGGCGTTGTCTCCCTTGTTCCCTTATCAACACCTCGTTCCCTTCGCCTTTCAACCTCCTCGCCCATTGTCCTCCGTCCTCCCTTCAGGTTCTCTCTTCTCGTTGGCTTTCCCTTTCGCTGGCGCTGCTCGTTTGTATATGCCTGTCCAAAATGGAATCTGAACACTCGGAAGAGAAGACGGTCCCACCGACCGCGAATGCAGACAAGGAGCTGGAATCAGGCGATGGCGGCTCTTCAGACGCGCCGTCGGTGTCGCCAGCAAAGGTCCTCCGCAAGATCGATATGCACCTAATGGCCCCCCTATGGGTTGTGTTCGTCTTTGGCTTCCTGGACCGAATCAACCTAGGAAACGTCGCCGTTCTGGGTATCATACAGGAGCTCAACCTCCAAGGCAACGCGTTCAACATTGCACTGCAAGTGTTCTTCGTGCCGTATATCCTGCTGGATATCCCGAGCAACATCATCTTGAAAAACTTCACGCCCTCGACCTGGATCAGCCTTTTGACTTTTATGTGGGGTGAGTACTCGCTATGCCTGATTGCCGAGTGCAGCCCATCCTGGCTAACCAATACTGCAGGCGTCGCATCCATGTGCCAGGGGTTTGTGAAAAATAACGCCGGCTTGATTGCCTGCCGGTTCTTCATCGGCGTTTTCGAGGCCGGCTTTGTCCCCGGCTGTGCCTATCTCATGGCAATGTACTATAAGCGCCACGAGTTCCAGAAGCGATTCTCCCTGTTCTGGGTTGCCGGGCTGGTGGCTGGGGCTTTTGGTGGTCTTCTCGCATACGCACTCGACCACATGGGCGGCCTGGGGGGGTATACGGGCTGGCGTTGGATCTTCATCATCGAGGGACTGCTGTCTATCGTGCTCGCGGTACCAGCCAAGTTCCTCATCGCTGACTGGCCAGAGCAAGCAAAATTCCTGACCGAGGAGGAGAAGCGCTATGTGCAAACACGTAGCTCTCAGGACGTTGGTGGCGGCGCGCGCATGGATCGCCTCGATGGTCAAGCGTGGAAGCGGATCATGAGTGACTGGAAGATCTACGTCGGGAGTCTGATTTATATCGGCATCACCGTCTCCGGCTATGCCACTGCCCTCTTTATCCCGTCCATCGTGAACTCGCTCGGATACTCTGGGATCGAGAGTCAAATTCATAGCATCCCGATCTGGATCGTCGCCGCAGTGGTTACCATGATGGTCTCGTATCTCACTGACCGCTTAAAGCACCGGTTTGGGTTCGTCGTGTTTGGCGTCGTCTTCGCCAGCATCGGATACATCATCCTCCTGTGCCAGGGGCCTCCGGACGCCGGCCTACCGCCCCGTGTTCGTTACATGGCGGTCTTCTTCGTCACCACCGGCACGTATATCGTTCAGCCGGTCACCATTGTCTGGATGGCGAACAACCTCGGCGGGCACTACAAACGCGCCATTGGCCTCGCGATTCAGGTCGGCTTTGGGAACATTGGAGGCATCATTGCAAGTAACATCTTTGTCCGGACGGATGCACCGCGGTACTTTGTCGGGTACGGTGTGGCGCTAGGCATGATGATTTTCTGCGGATTCATGAGTCTCGTCTTTGCGGTTGGACTGGTGAGGGAGAATAGGCTGAGGGCAGAAGGGAAGCGTGATGATAGACTGCAGCTTGATGAGAGCATCTTGGGCAACATGGGCGATGACGACCCGCGATTCCGCTTCTCGCTTTAGAACAAAAGTCTTGTCTACATAGTTTCAAACTCTGCAAATCCAACTAAACGGCCTCAGGCTCAAATCATCAAGAGCCGATGAGAGAACTGTCCTTATGACCATGACGCTTGCTGAAACTAAAAACCCCATGGCGCAGCCAGGCAGAAGGATTTCCAAGCTGAACATCGTGAAAAGGCACTGATCCATTGCTGCCTGTTTTCTCTATCTCCGTTTTCTGCAGCCAGCTTCCGCTGCGAGTCGACGGAGAACATTGCTCTTAACGCCATCTTGGATGCTGTGATTGCACGGAGAAATCCCGGCACCACGAATCACCAACCCCACATGTCTCGTATAACTCCCTAAGCCCGCGCAGGGGTGGATGTCTTGCAGCAAACGCTGTTTTGAGCCCAATCGATATGAAGCAGTGGTGGCTGTGGGACACTGCGGGGAGAGGGCACGGCTTCATATAAATTCTGGAGTGAGCCACAGAGAAGGCCACAGAACGACGAGGAGCGCGACGACTAGACCTATTCAGAGCATTCCAGTGAAAGCCCGCAACGATGTACGGACGACCCAAGATCTATGGCCACCCCATCTCGATGTCTTCGGACATCGTGTTGCTCACAGTTGCAGAGGGCGGCCTCGAGGACTATGACTATGCCGTTGTGGACCTGGCTCAACAGGCCAACAAGGTGATTAACAATGCTCTCCCCGTTGTAAACGCCTACTGAACCCGTTTTTGACACAGCGGCCCGAGTTCCTGGCCATGAATCCGTCGGGCAAGATCCCCGTCCTCACCACCGCTGAAGGCGACCACATCTCAGAGTCGCGCGCGATAGCCCAATACCTCGCCGCACGCTACGGCTTCACCCACCTCGTCCCCAAACCTGACGACCTCTTGGGCCTCGCGCGGTTCTATCAGGCCGCATCGTCAGAGACCTTCAATTTCAACGTCCCCGCGGAGGAGCTTCTCCACGAAGTGTTCGTCCTGCCGCTGTTTATGGGCCGACCAGTCAACGAGAAGGTTGTCACCAGGACCAGATCTCTCGTTGAAAAGCATCTGGACGTGTGCGAACAAGCCTTCAAGGCCGGCCAGAAGTACATGGCTGGCGACAGTTTTAGTCTCGTGGATATTTTCTATATCCCGATCATTGCACGCATGATCGATGCCGGGCACGGGGATCTCTTCACCAAACGCGAGATGGTTAATGACTGGTGGCAGAGGTGTCTGGCGCGTCCGGCAACCGGCAAGTTCGTGCAGACTATGCCGAAGATTGCGGATCTGAAAGCATAGGCAGGCCAGCTTGAGGGGGGGGAAGGGTTACGCCAGCAGGATGAACCGGTCTTCTTTTGTTTCGCAGCTGTACATACATACTCCTCCATACGAAAGAGATGATTGATGTTTAACCGCAGATCGTCCATGCAGCTTCTGCAGGAAGGATGTCATTCAGAGTACAAGGTGGTCATTCGGTGCTTGACGACGATCCTTCGTGTCACCTCGTTAGGCGGAGATTAGGTGGCTCGTCACCAATCTCGTAGCTCAAGTTCATCATGCCTTGAGATGATCTCGGGCATATTCTGGGAGAATTGCCGTTCTCTAAGGAGATTCCCGGTACCCTGTACACAACTCCAACGCACATATTTGTCTCCCGGTATCTGGCAACTGTAGCGTATATCGGATTAGTATCTAAATACACAATATAGCAACGAAGACTCCATCACCACCTCGTGGCCCCTTCTTCAAGTTTAAATAAACCAGATTTCCTCTTCTCTGCCTCCCACTTATCGATCCAGGCCTTCATCTTCTCTCGAGTCTTTCGGCTAGCCACATTCACGGTGGGAATCACCTTTGCAATCCTCAGCGCACAGCAAAACATTGTTAATTCTCGAAACGAGCTATGTTCACTGTAGGGCACGCCAAAGCATGAACTATCCTTGTTGCTGCCCCGCTGCGGAACAAGATCCTTCACGGTAAACCGGGTCTTCCAGGACTCAGACTGCAGGACGGTTGAAACTGCCGGGTTATCGACCATCCGGCCGGTCGGTGGTCGATAATTCCACCCCGTGGGCCGGAAGCCAACGACATGCGTAAAATGGGGTTTGAAAGAGGCGAGATATTCGGAAAGCGTGTCAGAGCGAATCTCCATTAAGCTGTGCATGTGAACTTGCGCTTCTAATGGATCGCTAGTAAGTAAACTGGATAATTCGGGATCTTCGAGGCAGGCACAGATGCGCTGTTTCGCGGCTGTTGCGAAGATTTTGCATCCAAGTGCTTTTGCGATCCCTAAACAAATCCGTTCTTTGCCAATGCTATAGGTCCCTATGACAACGAGCAACCTAGATTTGGAAGTCTCAGTTGGTTTCCCATTGACATGGGGTTCTTTAGAGTCCTTCGGCATCGACTTGCCGCGCTGCCAGAGATCACGGCAACCGGATTTGTTTTCATTCAAATTCACGCACATTTGGGCGCATGCATCAATAACATCCTGCTGGCTCGGGAAAGCATACTTGGGATTGAGATAGGTTGTATCCAAGTAACAAACGTCGATTCTCTGCTGCTTTGGTTGCCCCGTAGCTTGGTCAATAGGATCAGGCCTTAACAGCGGATGTTGAATGTGGGCTGGGGAGGCCCTGAAATCTCCACAGTGCAGGATACGCTGAACCCGCTGACCCTTACCTTGTCCGAATTTCTTTTCAAACAAAAAGAGCGCACTTCCCGGGCAATGGTTCGCATGTATCATAGTAACCTTGACACCGTCTGTGTCAGGCACATCTGTGGGCTTCTCAAAATCAAGATCAACCACGAACTTCGGATTTACATTTAGCTGCTGACGGACAAGATTTCCAGTAACTTTGCTGCAATATATGGGGCCATGAGACCAATTCGAATTTAAACCCACGTAGTGGTCGCTGTGGAAATGACTCAGGAAGTAGGCACTGCAGCCTTCGACGGCGCCATAACGGAAGGCGTCCACGCATATTGAAAATCCCGGAAGTATCTTGTAAAAGGGACATGTCCTCTCAAAGGCTTGTTTTCCCCTGGAGGCCACTTCGTTAGCCGCTGCGGCGGCCCATGCTGCATCCTCCGCATTGCCTGACATGAGTTTTGAAAATGCAGACGACGATTTTGTGACCGTCGAGCTTATCGCGAAGGGGTTTTTCTGCCCGGGGCGGGCCATAACCTTTAGGTCAGCTCTTGTTCGCACCGATTCGGACGCATCTACTTTGGTCACTTCAGGGATGGACTCCCCATCGAGACATTTGTTGACATGCAGAGACGCCGCCTTTGAGTCTATATTAGCATAAACTTCTATTAGGATTATGAATAAACTTACATCATCCGTTAAGCCTTGAAGTCCTTTCTGGCATATGGGACAAATGGGAACCTCTTCGTCATTCGGACAACCATCCATAGCTTCAAAATGATTGTTTTCCGTCAAGTCAACGTAATCACTCGTTTCTTCGCAATCGCTACCTCCAGGATCCATTGCAGGACACTCCCCACCATCAAGTCTCTCCCCTGGTTCGTTGGGTGTCATGAGCCCCCGTTCCGGTGAGATTCGAAGCATGTCCCCAGACTCTGCCAGAGACTTTCCAACACCTACCAAAGCCGATCCCGTATTGCATTGACTCGAAAGCTGGCCAACCACAGGTGGGTCGTCCTCGCTGTCCGAATCAATCAAAAAAGGGCCCGTAAACTTGCGCTCTCCATTATTCGAAGCTATGCGCGTTTCTTGCCCGATTTTCATCTCTTGCGCGACAGCAGTTTCCGACTGCCCATGAATATTCACTTCTGCGTAGTCAAATCCCATCTTACGCCTTTTGACCGCCATACCATCCTCATGATACCTATCACCGCCAGCCTGGTAGGCACCGATATCCGAACTCCCCAACCTCGCCCAAAGATCATCTGGAGACCTCGATCTCTCTCGCTCAGAAAGCGGCTGTCCCTCCGATCCAAAGCCATTATTATTCCCGGCTTTGACGTCCTCGACAAATAGACTCTCATACTCCGCGGTTCCATTATTCCTCAAGTCCTTGCTTGACAATGATGGGACGGAGCTATCATCTCGTTGTGCGACGAATTGGGTAATCCGTTGTTGCGTTGAAACAGGTTTGGGAGGAGTTTCCGCCTTACTAAAGAATTGAAGGATACTGGCGTTTCGTTTGACGGGTTTAGAGGAACTGAACCGGGTTGATGGCGTGGTAGATGGTCTGTTTGAGCGGGCAAAGGGGGATGAGGATGACGGTGCCATGGCGGGGACCGTGTTGAGAGGGACGGAGAAGCGTGCTGTTGCGTCGAAAGGGACCCGGAACCATGTCTCCCTAGAGGAACAGGCTGGCTGGCTCCACGAAATCCAAGGTATACGACGAGTGAAATGGACAGAAGCTCATCGTTTAGTTTCTCCTGTTCAAATTCGCCTTCGCCGGACACGAGAAAACACGACGTCACGTGATGGCTTAGATGGCTTAATTGAAAAGACCAACTCCATGTGGCCAAACACATGGGCTGGAATGGTAGTTACAGAGTACATTTCACTTGTTTTAAGAGACGGATTTACCACTCTAGTAAAATAGATTCTCGGTATCCAAGCGGGCTATACGATAGGTCTCAGGAAAACACTGATCCTGCCACTCCCATGTTGCCCAATGTACCTTTTCATCCAGTGATAACCGGCAAGCGGCTTATTGCACCCACACGACTCCTTCCCAATGCTGTACTAGATATTATAACCATAAGAGGTGCATCAGCTCCACTGTAAACCCCATTGCTAGGCACCTTCAGAGCTTTCGATGCGCGCGACGAAACAGGTATGATAATCGTGTGCTATCGGGTCGGAATCATAATCAACTCCTCCTGGAATCGTAAAAATGGGGGGTCCGTCCACCGAACATGGAACGGACAGCGGAATTCGATCAGTATTCGGAACGGGTCCAATCGCGCAATAACACGCTAAAAAACGAATAAAATCAAAGTCTGCACATGTATTCAGACATCATCTCGCTTTGTTCGCCTGGCTCGCAGCTTCTAAACATCACGAAGTAACCATATCAGCATATGTATACTCAAATTGAACCCCCCAAAAAAATGGTTGCATGGGTAGGAGTCGGAAAATGGGGCATTGTACCTCTTCTGGTCGCATCCTCCAACAGCCCTCTGTCCACGGCCTCTTGCGGCAGAACAATATATCTCACCACACTCCCTCGGATAAAAATGTTCTTCACGCTTGAAAGATGCGGGTATTTGTCAAGGTCTATGACTTCGATATCATCAAGTTTGACGTTCAGGTATTGATCGACGCTCTTCAGGGTGCCGCGGATTCGGATATCGTTCTTGAGCTCGATGATGACAGTGTGGTTTGTGAGGGTTTTGAAAAAGCTATTGGTCGTGGGATGTATTAGCTCCATGAAAAAGTAAGAGGCTTGCACAGGGTAGGAGAGAATGAAGGGTCATTGAACCTGAAGAAGAGCATGTTGACGAATGCCGCAGCTGGGCTCCAAGAGGCTGTTGGTGAGGAGAAAGAAAAGCAAAGTGATATACTACGACAAAGCTATCATCTGCAAAACATCTGCAATAGTTGTCATATAAGTGATTTGGTGAGTGAAGAACTGATATCGATGTTGTTTTGGCTTCAATCGCCAGGCGGTCACGTGATTGTCGCTTTTGGAGCTGCACAAGATGCACTCCAGAAGCTATCTTGACTTGAATGTCATTTGGAGTTAAATTTGGTATTTATTAGGGTCTACTCTGTCCTAGCCTTGAATGCGATACAGCTGCAAATCAAAGCAAGATAAATCCAAACAAAGGAAATGAGAGAACGTGATGCGAACATACAATTGCCGTGGAGCTGGTCTGAGGGATCACTCAGGTATAAAGCTATCTGCTCGCATCCACCATCAAACATTTAAACTGATAGCAGAAAGGGCTCATGATGGCTGTGACTGTTTCTTCCTGGGTTTCATAGCCCATCCACTCAGGCATCTCCAACCAGCACCACACTTTCTCCCTTCATCTATGACCGCGGCCGTTTCTTCAAGCAGCTTGTCGCGGTCACGGCCCATCTCCAATTGTAGCCGCAACATCCACTGCTCCCACATCCAGCCACCGAAAAGGCCCGTGATGCTGGCAACATCACCTGTACTCCCCACCAGCTCCGTAGTATCCGGGGACAACGGCGAAAATCTCCCGGGTACCTGAGCGTCGTCATTGTACGGAGCACCCATGGGCAAAAACAGCCAGGCCCGTTTTATGTCCGCAAAGTTTGCTTTGCGAAGTCTTGATAAAAACGCCTTTGTTGGTGCAGGATCGTAGCCTCGAGTTTTGAGGTTGAATCCAAACTCGACGGACGTCGCAGAGCCGTATGGTCCAGCACGGACAATCTCGGAGTCCATGATGAAGAATTCGAGATACCCACCTGGTTTCAGGCAGCGAAAGCATTCTTTCAGGCACATATCGACTTCATCGTTGGCCATTGCTTCGGCGCCAACGGGCCGCGATGATTTCAGGAGCATGTGCAGAGAACGTGCTGAGATCAGGTCAAATTGGTTGTCCTTGAACGGTAGTCTCCAGAGATACGGCACGGACAGGTGTTGATGATTGGCAGGGCCGTCCACCGGACTCACAGCTTGTTGCCTTGGGACGACGGTAAACACCTTAGCATTGGGGTACTCATTCGCAAGATGCCATGCCCATTCGCATGCTGTTTGGCCGCCAAAATCTAAAACTCTAGCCCGCCGCCTTTTGGCTCCTGTTGGCTGATTCAAGGGGGTAGCTTTTGCCAGTCGCTTCGCCGCAGGACTTGGGACTAGAGGCCCACCATTGAGAAATTTCAGAGCTTCAATCGCCCACGTGGAAGAATGCAGCTGTATCAATACATCTTGCTCCTTTTCCACATTCGAAAACATGGCTTTCTCTTGAAGCACCTCGGGAAGTTTGGAATTGCGTGGTGCTTGTGCAAAAGGACCGCGGTACGGCGGGCGCACGGGGCTACTGATCTCATATTTTCCGGCAATATGGTCGACATGTTTCGCGCGCATACTCAGGCGAGACGCTTGTACGGCTTCAAAGCGGAAATTGCTATGGAGGAAAATGTCCGTGCTTTGGGAGTTTCGTCGGACATGTTTGAACCCGAGGTAGAATGTCGACTCTCTGGCCGGCAGCGGTTTGCTGGGAGGCTCCAGAGGCTCAGTTGGGATGGTTTCCGGAAGATTGACTGATGGAGTATGGTATGCAACTGGCTTGGTTCTTCTATCTTAAGAGCCAGGCGCGGTTAGGAGGCCGTTTAACGGGTGATGCAGATTCGTGGGATTGGCAGCGTAAGTACGCTGACTGGGTAACCAGCCAGACTGTCGTTCGATCCAGGTTTGACATCGCCTGGGATTTTATTGCTTCTGCATAAGATGCGTCGTATTCGTTACCGCTATCCTCAGCGTCTCTTTGTTTCGCTTCCTCTGGTGGTTTTACCGGCACTCTTCGCGCAGTTGGTGGGCCGGATACAACCGCCTTTGCGGTCGAAGGCCCTTCTGTGTCATTGTCCTCGCATTCCACTACCTGCTCGACAATCGTGTCTTCTCGAGCATCCCAGGGCACATTGTAGAATCTCTCCGCTACAGCCGAAGTGGGCGTATTGGCATTGATTGGAAAACACCAGGTCTTCCGAGCTTGGCCCTTGAGCGACGCGAAGAATCCGCCGGGTGATGGTATGCTTAGAGAGGTGAATGAAGATCCGGAGCAAATTGATGGAGGCATGACAGCGCTTCTCGGACGCATGGGGTTTGGGAGCTCATGCATTTCACCAACCTGTCCTGTCTCTGAAGGTGGCGAGCTCTGAAAACGGTCCGAGTTCGTCTCAAAACGCTGAAGGGTCGCCATCGCAGCTGAGGGAAGCTGGACGCCTTTATTGCTCTCCACGGATGGCGCATTGTCGGACTCGCAATCAGAGGAGGGTTGATCGGGAACAGCTTGAGTGGGAATGCGTGGGAAGCTACCCACGACGGCACTCCAATCCTCGGGTGACTCCAGCTGAATATCCAACTGTGGGCTCATCGAGGCACTGGAAGTCTCCGAAAAGTTCGCCAGCTCGCCGTCGTCACGCACCTGCAACCGCTGCTCGTCCCAGTTTACATCCGGCAATTCAGCCAGATTTGGCGTCTGCGGGCTACTAAAGGTCGAGGGCCTGTCTGATGCTCCACTAGCACTTCCCGCCAAAGACGGTGGCGCGGCAATTGCAGGAACTCTTCGAGGAAGCTTTGCCAGAAGCACCGGAGAAACCGGAATCTTGGGTGGCGGAGTGGGCGGAACGTGTGACAGCTTGATATTCGAATCGTACTCAGACGGCGGAATGGATAGCCTGGGGAACATCTTCCGATGGCCGCTTTTGGAACTGCTCAGGTCCGAGGCGGTAAAGGAGCTATTGGACCTCGTATCTGCCTGGCTGGACAGGGACGGGCAGCTGTCCGGGTCGGATTCGTCAGTCACATCATAGAGATCATCAAACCCGTCACGGTGCTTCGCGCGGCAGTCGGTCGAGCAGGAGGCCCGGTTAGAAGAGGCGATCGAGTGCCGACTCCCATCTCCATGCGGTGCCAACGGCGAGGACATGCGTGTGCTGGAGGAGCGACGGCCGTGCAGTTCCCCTCTTGGTCGAAGGGGATGGGACCCGTCCTCGTATCCGTGCCCGTAGGAGTGCTGTCGTCTGGCCGTGGCACTGTGTCCCGCATGTCCCACGTAGACATCTGCGGCGTCGGGTCCGTTTTCGATTATGGTATTAAGCGCCCGGTCACCTCGAGCCTGCCGAGGGACGGGGGGGCGTGTTGGAGAAGTGAATGTTGCAGCCATTGCGGGAGGCGCTGTGATGCAGATAACCAGATCTGAACAATAATGATAGTGGCGCCGATAGGGAGGAGAGAAAGGCCAGCCCTCTCTCGGATATTAAAAAGCGATAATATTAAAACACCAAAAGGTGAAAAACCCTGATCAACAGGTCTGCTCGAAGGAAGGGTGAAGAAGACAAGCGGAGAAGCGAGAGAAGAGACAGAGCTGGACGGCGGGCAGGTGGCTCAAATATGAGTCTCTGGCCTGGTTGCTGCAGCCAGTCAGAGCGCGTGTGTTCCCGCCGGGCTGGTGCATGTCAACATGCTTCCCGATGCGGGTGCGGCCAATCAGGTGCGGCGGATGGCTGTGGCTTCAAATAGAACGGGTGCTGATTGGTTAGATTAGACCCACAGGTGTGATTCAATCCCAGAATGGGTTAGCGCAGATCTTGATCTATTTATGGCAGCTGCACTTGTTTCCTCTTTGGGCAGGCACAACACAGAGCCAGCGCTGATTGGTCAGTTGATTATGCAGTGATATGATGACTAAGCACATAGTCAGGGGTGGAATGCAGAGATTCAACTGAGGTTACACTCGCGATGCCGCAGATTACCGCTATTTCCCTGTGTGTGAGTGAAAAGGAGCATGGGATTAATTCATTATTATGGCTGTGGACATGAGAGAAGAAAAACGAATTTCAACATGGCGGCAGGCCTTGCTGTCGCCATCAATCATAAGAAAAGGAATATCCCAGCCATTACATCTTTCCCATATCGCAAAGAGCAACATGCGAGCATTAATGGCCAGGGCGAGGGGAAAGGAAAAAGTCATAACACAACATACAGGGCATAGTACAGCATACAGCGTGAAAAGCATAGAGCAGAACCGAAGCAAAGTTGATTCGAAAGAACAAGTGTACACCAAACCAGAGAGCCGGCCAGAGACCAACGCTTTCTCTAACGGAGGTTGGGATGACACGCCTCGGTGTATCCAGCCCTCCGTTAAAAGGGCAACGCATATGGAGATTCGTAAGAATCTCCACATAATAGTAGATGAAAGTAAGAGATGGAAAATCAAAACAAAAATCAAACACAAAAGGGTGAGAAGCGAAATGAGAAAAAAAGCAATCGCAAAACGTGATACAATGTAGATCGAGTCAAACGATTCTACAGCATAACCGGAATATAAGAACCAACCTCAGCACTCATTGGCTGCGCTTGGATAAACGAAGCAGGATCATAAAAAGATGAATCGAAAGGATTCATGATTGCACTGTCATACCCATCATATGCCGCAGTCGTCGCCCCCGTGCCCGCGGCATCCCACTGCTGCGGCGAATTGGTGGTCCAGTCGTCAAACTCAAACGCAAAGTCTTGCGCCATCTCGCTGGGTTCGTCGTCAATGGGAGTCGAGGAGTGCGAGTCATACGTCGCCGGTGCAGCGGCAGGCGACTCGTCTGCGCTCTGATGGCCGTCGCTTTGTTCGATGCTGGCGGTGTCGGAGATCCGTCGGCGGCCGAGAAGCTCCGCCTCCTCGGGCGAGATGTCGTTGTCGAGCAGGATCCGCGCGTTGTCCACCACAATCTCCTCGCGCTGTTCCATCCAGTGCTTGAGCACGTCCATGGACGGCGTGGTGCCACCGCCCTTGCCGCCGCGCTTCTCACTGTCTTTGCCGCGCCCGCCACGCCCGCGTTGGCACGGGTTAAAGTGCGTGCGGCGCAGGTGCGCGGCGGCGTTGTAGTTGGCGCCATATCGCTTGCCGTTGCGGCACGCCTTGCAGTTGGCAAGGAATTTCTTGTTTGGGGAGATGTCCACGCACACCCAGACCTTGCGCACGACGGCATGCACGCGCTCGACATGCCGTCGGAGTTCATGTTCGCCGTGAAAGCCGTCGGGCTGTTCATTGCAGTATTTACAGTACGTCTTGGGTCGTGAAGGACGCTGCACAGACGCCTTGGGAATGGCTGCCACTTCTCGAGAAGTGCCGTCTTCCGACGCGATGATCATTTTATGTTCCAGAACATTGTTTGACTGCGGAGCATTCGCAGGCTTTGGTGCGATCTTCTGTGTGCCTTGCACAATTTGCTCTCGAGTCCTCCGTCGAGCCCGAGTCTCGCTTGAGGCCACCGAGTCGGTGCTCTGACTCGATAGAGAAGGCTTCATCTCAGCAGATGAAGGCGAAGAAGAACCACAAGAATCGGAAGAAGAATCAGACGAAGAAGCAGCAGAACGATTCAAAGCAGCAGAAACAGAATGACGAAAGAAGCCAGACCCAGATTCGGGCAATGACTGCGAAAACTGAACATGATGCATGTTACGAGAGTGAAAGTGCGAAATAGGAGAAGAGTGGAGGGAGTAGTTGGCGTCATTGTGAGGGACAAATGACTGCAGAGTGAAATTTGCGGACAACTGAGCATCTGGAAAGTCCAGATTTTCGAGAAATGATCTGTTCGAATCGAACCTGATCATATCCATTCCTTCGCACAGCGAGTCTGAAGTCAGACTCCGAGTCATCTCCAGCGACTCCGTCCCCACGGCCAGTTGGCCTTGATGCTGCGAATCGAGAACCAATGCATCCGCCGCAGGAGAGTGGTCCATGTCGACCTCGATGGGACTACTGGACGATCCCGACGCCCGGTTGCTGTGGATGGGGGCCGCGGCACCGTCCAAACCGTGGTCCCAGTATTCTGTCGAGAGGGTCTGGGACTGCTGCAGGGGGGAAGCGGTCGCCTGGGAGCGAACGGCGGCCAGTCCCTCGATTTGTGGCGATGGAGCAAGAGCGGGCGGGTGGTTCCAAGATGCTCGCGGGCCAGAAGCGGTTCCAGCCTTTCGTGCAGAGTGACCTATCCGAGAGCGTGCAGAGTGCTGACGAGCAAGCTGAGAACGCACCGAGGCGGATCGGGAGAGAGAGAGGGTGTCCGGGGTCTACAGCGAGAGTTAATCCAAACGAGGCTACAGAGGGATGGGATTCAGACAAGATCGCTCGAGGGAGGGACCTTTTGAAACCAATGAGCATGTGGAAGAAAGTGGGCACCTACGGTAGCTCGTCGCTTGGTCGGGGGGGATCCAGGAGGCAGAGTGCGAGGAACGTCGTCCCCAGGCCGTTTTCCCAAATAGCTGGGTCCACCGCTGCGAAGGGCGTTCCGTCTGGCGTCGTGGAGAGCGGTGGTGGGCCCGCAGATGAACTGGCTGAGGTGCTGCGTCCAGAGTTCTTGTCGCTTCGAGTCCGGGAGATGGGAGTGCTGCGTCCAGAAGACGGCTCTCGCGGACGAGAGCAGCTGGTCGGAATTGGCGTTGAGGGCCATGGTCGAAGTGGTCGGGGAGGAGAATACACCAAATAGAGAAGCAGTTTTCCAGTAGCCGTGTGGTCTCAGGATCCTCGACGGAGAGACAGAGCGGTAGTCAGTGAGCGAGGCGGGTTAGACAGCTAGAGGCTGGATCAATGTCCACTCGAACAGCAGGTTGGCGGGTGGTGCAGAGTCTGGTTGAGGGAAAAGAGGTCGAGGGAGCGAGGAGGAAGAGAGGAGGGCTTTATTGACGCGGGCGGACGAGGCTCGACGGGGGGGAGTCGGGGAGCGCGCTGCTGACCACCAACACGGCCTGCAACGAGCCACGGCCAATCGACGCAGCAGGCCGGCCTCCGCGGTGAAGTCGCACGCCGGCCAATCGCGGACTGCGCTCAAAGTGAGGCGGCGTCCATCCGCAGCGTTGGGCAGCAGTGCTTGGCTGCAGCTGCGGGTGGAGGGATCAGTCGGGATGAGCATTGAGGGTGGTGAGGGTAACTCAGGATGAGCGTGATCGATAGCTACTCTGTACCGAGTTAACTAGTTAGTTGTCAACGATGGAATAACTGAGGGAATGTTCAGTCAAGAATCACCATCAACACCATCATCTCCTGAGGTCACTGATCTTGACGGCTGGCCGCAGACTGAGGTCTTGGGCAGACTCAAGACGGCTTCGTATTCCCTCATGCAGCCCCAATCAGTGCGTCGTCCACCCATGCAGCTGCAACACCCGGCGCTGCCACGTCGCTCCAGTCAGTCTCGTCGGATCAGAGAGCGAGAATCCGCCCGTCCCATCCATGATGCCGACACTGACCGTTTCAACAGCACAGCAGATGACCTCCCAGCAGCTCTGGCAAAGGTCAGGATGAAACTTCGCTTGCCAGCTCTGCCGCATGCATTGTCTCGCACATTGAGCCCAAACGCTCTCCTTCAAGCTGCTGCTCTTTGTTGAAACGACAGAGTAGACATGTCCATCTCATTCACATCTCAGTCCATCTCATCTGTTCATCCATCTGTTCATCCATCTGTTCATCCATCTGTTCATCATGACGTAAGAACCATCATGTTAGTCATCTCCAGCCAGACAGCTTCACCAGCTCACCGGCTCATGCTCACCAGCTTCATCAGAATCAACGCACAATCAGACATTGGAACACCAAGCATCTAACTAGCTACCATGCCTGACCACTCCCCCTCCTACTCCCAGGACGATCCCACCCTGTACCTGTTCACCTCCCTCACCGCCGGATCCTCCCACATCATCACCGCAACCTCCAGACTCGAAACCATCCTCAAAGCAAACAAAATCGCCTTTCGCGCCATCGATGCCGCCACAGACGACAAGGCCCGGACGCTCTGGGGGAGGAAGTCAAAGGGGAGAAAACTGCCCGGCCTGGTGAGATACGGGAACATCGTTGGCGTCAGTACCATTTATATCTTCCCCCCCATCAAAAACACCCCCGTTAAACTTCTTGCAACCAGGACATTGAACAAATCGAAGAATGGAACGAATACGGTGAACTCCAAGACCAATTACGCGCCGACCCGTCTTCCGCCGCCATCGAACCCTCCCCCGCCCCCTCCACCACTACCACCAGCATCCCCTCCCGACCAACCCCCGTCACCGTCTCCAGCACCCCACACATCCAGATCGTCGGGACCCCGTCGCGCACCCCCTCGGCGCAGTCGAAGCGCGAGGACCGTCTCACGCTCGCCCTGCGACAGGCGAGCGAGGAGGCCGCTGCCAAGGCAAAGGAGACTGCGCGCGTGAGGGTCGGCGCCGTCTCGCCATCGTCGATGCGGGCAGCGGAGCAGGCAGTGGCGGCGAAGGCGGTGGAAGAGAGGAGCGCGGAACCAGAGGTGCCGTCTGGCGGGAAAGGGGAAGAGTCAAAAACGCAGGCTGAACCTCAACCCGAGTCTGCCACAATAAAAGACGACGGTGGAGAGCCGGCGAAGAAAGATGGACCGGCACCTGAGCTGTCAGAAGATGCGGTGGATGACGAGACACGAAAAGACAAACCGGACAGTTCTCAGCAGTGAAGGTGACAACGAATTGACCACAAACCAGCCCGGTCGCTGGGTGATATGGGGATCGAGCGCGCATTACGAACGTATCCCTTCCAGAACACGAACATAGTAATTTGCCTCTTTTAATTATAATAGATATCACAGAGCGACCTCTAGCCTTTGCGGAAATACCAAATGTCTATCATATATCCTCAGACCGGTGGCCGACCAGCACAACGGCTTTCTCACGCATCTGAACACAAACATCTCAACCTCTCCTCTTTTCCACAGCCTCTCGTAGCTTCGCAATCACCTCTGCAGGATCATTCGCCCCAAACACCGCTGACCCTGCAACGATCACATTTGCACCGGCATCGGCAGCTTGGTCGATGGTGCCCAAGCCCAGCCCCCCATCGACCTCGATGTTCATATTGGGATACCGCTTTCGCAAAGCTTGGACCTTGGGGAGTTCAGACGCCATGAACTTTTGGCCCCCAAGAGCCCGGGTTCACCGTCATGATCAAGACCCATCTGTGCATGTTCAGTTCGTACACTTCACGTTTCTGTGGGAGCTTTTGCAAGTCAAAAACTCACATCCGGCCTCTCAATCTCCTCCGGATTCTCCAGGATATCACACAGCACGTCCACAGACGTCGCCGGCTTCAGCGCAATCCCCGCCTGCATCCCCGTCTCATGGATATACCGAATCAACTCTTTCGGGCTCGTCTTCCGCGTCGTCTCCTTGTCGGCGGGCTCCTTAGCGGCAGTGGAGGTCATGGCGGCCTCCCAGTGGAAGCAGTACAGGTCGCAGCCTGCGTCGCTAAAGTCTTTTACCCATTTCTGTGGCTATGTGGAATTCGAGGGTAGACGGCCGCGGGTCTTGGACCCTTGGGGCACAACGACCCGCCGCTCCGAGCCTGCGATTGGACTTGGTGCCAGAGATCCAACGGGTGCTCGGAGTGGGGTGTTGCAGGGTCCGACCGGGAGAAACGGGTCAGCTACTTTGCCTTGGAGTATTTTAAAGGGAAAATAAACGGCAAAAGCAGATGGTAACAGTCTCAATGGTTTGTATTCTAGCTTGATCGAAAAGAAAGAATGGTCACGAGAAGTAAGAAAATTCGTACATCCCATTGATCATTCGAGTGGTGTAACAAAACCAGTACGCATCAAAACAAATGTCTAAACGGCCAACGGCGAGCGCTCACTGTAACCTACCTCTGCGATCATCATGTGGCAATCAAACGTCCCCTTCCCACCCATACTCGCCGGCTTCTGCACATGACTTCTGATCTTGGACACGACCGGCGCCCCAAACGTGATGTTGGGCACAAAATGGCCGTCCATGATGTCCACATGGATCCAGTCACTGTCGGCTTTCATGAGATTCGAGCATTCTGCGCCGAGATTGGCAAAGTCGGCGGAGAGGATGGACGGTGCGATGATCGCGGGAGGTGCCATGGTTTGGGGGAGCAAAGGAGGGAGCCCCGCGGTCAATTGATGTGTGATCGGGACTTAATCTGTGCAGGTATACGGCGACAAATACTTGTAGCTCAGATTCGGATGTAGAAGTGACTTGAATCGACATTCACGCTGTCGTTTGTTGATGCCGCCGTTAACCCCACACCAGCCAAGATTACATAATGCGGGGTGATGACTAATGTCATGTGACACTGATTACGGATAATCGTCTCTCCGGTATAATTCCTTTCGTGGTAATCACAAGTTTGGAGCTGTGATTGTGACTCTATCAATCATTTTGTGTCGAGAAATAGAGTACGGAGTATTTGCATAATCCCCTGCAGCAGCTAACTGACTATCCTGCACCTCCCGTTTTACCCGTTGCATCGTACGGAAATACCGTAAACATTCATACATGAACGGTTTGTTACGCCCGGTTTCTGCCCTACGGTAAGGCTGCTGGGAGCGACCGATTCAATCGGCACTGCCTTGGCAGAGTCTGACAAGATGGAAGAACGATTGCGCGGTTCTGCAGGATGGAGTCGAGGAGCGTACGGAGGACGTGAAGCTTGAACCTCCTCTGGAGCACCATTACTGCTCAAGCGGGATGGTTGTTGGGGAAAACGAGCTCTAAAGTTGCACAAGCTAAACTAATTAGCAGTGTGTACGCAACTGATAGTTGGTGGAGGGATCCCCATGATCAGATGCGTGGGTCGGGCACACAACTGTCGGATTTGGCTTAAACGGGCGTTGATTTCCGCTCTTCTCTCCTGCTCTCTGACACTCTCCCTCTGATTCCCTGGCTTTCACCGCTCCATCCTGCCAGACCCCTAGATATCACCAGGTTCTGGCTGTCCCCAAAGGAGAGCCACAGCAAAGGTCAAGCCACTCGACGGTTCGGAAAGCAACCCCACCCTCCAAGCATCGGCAGTGCCAAGGCCGGTAATGTGGCTCGAATGGGCTGGGGACGCATAACAGCCACAATCTCAAAGCCTGGGCCAATCAATTCGAGGGCAGTGTGGGGCGGGCAGCAGGGACAACGCAACCTGCAACTGGGGCTTGCTCCCAGGCCAGCCAATCAAACGGCGTGTGGCTTGCGAGATATGGCTGGTGGCTGAGGATGGCGCATGCTAAGATTCCTTGGCGGCCCACATAGCCAAGACATCTCCGGTCGGACAGGTCGAGGTGTTTGGTATCACTCCCGGATCTTCCGTGCGATCACTGCGCAGGAGAGCAGCCAGAGGATGGAGTGTGTGCTAGAAACTGGAAATGGCCGACTCGTTGTGGGTGGAGTGAGGGCCTGTATCTCAGGTTCGAGCATCAAGATCGCTTCTTGAGTGATGGATCTAGTTTAACAACTCGACAAACCATGGACTGGCCTTGGATGGAAGACATCATACAGACACGGTAAGAATACCGGTATGGACCATACGGGTACCGCCAGATTCACATCTGATAGTCGGAGCGAGACAACAATCCTCGTCCATCTCACTCTGTCTGCTTCTCTTTTCCTCCATCTCCTCCCTCTTCCTCTCTCTCTCCCTCTCACGAACGCCCTTCAACCTCGATCTTGGTCACAGCACTCCTTATTCATTTCCATATCTCGGTTGACCATCCGTCAGTATCAGCGCCGCCTCTTGATTCTCCCTTGATAGCTTAATCCCATCACACAATGTCTAGCCAGTCTTACTACCAGCAACCTCCTCCCCAAGGGTAAGTCGACTTCGCACAGCTCTTCTTCAACCTCCGCCCGGCTAACATCCACGCTCCAAGGTATCCACCCCAGGGCTACCCACCTCAAGGTTATCCGCCTCAGGGCTATCCTCCACCGGTATGGTCCTCACTGCACTTCGACACTCCTGCCCTGCACCAAAACGATAGAGCAATCACTTGAACAGAACACTGATGGTGAGCTCCAGCAAATGAACTATCAGCAGGGCCCACCTCCACAAACCATTGTTGTTCAGGAGAAGAAGGATCGCGGTTGTCTTTATGCTTGGTGAGCATTGCCGTCACCTGTCTTCCAGCAGGGCCCTGTTCCTGGCTAACCTGTATGTCAATAGTCTTGCAACCCTCTGCTGTTGCTTCCTCTGCGAGGAAAGCTGTGAATGCTGCCTGGAATGTCTGACTTGTTGCTTCTAAGACCTTGACATCCTGCCGCAACAATTCCTGAATATGCAGTTTGTGATAGGAACTGGAGCGGAGAAAAAAAAAATTTGCTTCCTCTTTAAATTCTTTTATCGTAACGCTGGGCGTGTGCTGTGTGCCGAGGTGTTATACTCTGACTGGTCTGCTTGTCTCTTTCTTGCCATACTAATTTCTTCCCTAAAGGTGCTGTATTGCCATCTGAAGGGGATCATATAACATTTCCCACATAGAATTCCTCTCTTGCGTTATGAGGCTTTTGAATTTAGTTCTCTTTGCTGCATTTCCAATGATTCAGTTCTTGCTTCGAATATTGGTACTGGAACAGCTTACTGTCCAGTGTTATCTCCCTTTTGGCTGAATACTTTGTCAATTCAACATTCTGGAGTCCTTCAAATATAGCCCAGATTCCCCAAGTCTCATCAATCATTCTAGTGAAGGATTGTGGTATAATTCTAGCCGAGACCATGAATTTGTCTCAGAGTTGGAACTTAAGAGACTGGCCGAGGCGGAAGTATCCTTATCTGGCTTGGCCGCCATGGATGATGGTCATGCATCGACGGCCGCAGAGTTTTCCTGCCATCAAGAGTTCACTCATTAGCTCTGCATAGGGAACAGACAAGTACACATACACACACAACAGCATCACGGCAGGCAAACACCTACTTGCATCAGTTCTGATTTTGGCAAGATTCATTCACATGTCTCCCCAAGTCAGCTCCAACACGAGAAATGGCTGGCGTATATCAAATTGAACGGCGTTGCCTCACTACTCGACATTGTCAAAGCCAAAGCCACATAGCATATTTCAGTGTGGGCGCAATCTGGCCACAGTGATTGACCAGGGCAACAAAGATGCGAAGAAAAAAGCTATCATGCTGTGCAAAGAAGGCTACCACGCTGACGAAGCAAATCCAGTGACCGGAAATACGAGTCGACATCTCCCGATAACGAAATAGTCACCAAAGAATCTGCCCTGTGCACATTCGGAGAGAAGAAGGGGGCTGGGTGATGAGCCTCGCCAACCAGGGCCCCTTGAAGCCATTTTGGGTCGCCTGGGGGTCGCCTTTTCGGCCGCCATCTCCGCACAAAGAGGGGGAGGATAATTGGGAGCATCTAGCGAGGAAGCCTCATTTTCCCTCGCCCCGTTTTTCACTGCGCAGCAGCCGTGGTGTTGATTTTGACTGTGATGTGTGAAATGGTTGTCGTGGTTGGTATTGAAGCGGGGGTTTTGTTGGCGGCTCTATGGAGAGATGGCTGTGGCAGAGCTACCAGGCAATTCATCTACCCAGTTACAGGCTTATGTTGTTCTTGATGTGAGGACTCCAGCTAGCATTCCATTTAACCAATGATCTCAGAATGGGCTATTGCTCTTCGGCACTCTCCTGACAAGTTCTTGCTGAGGTTGCGCGGCTTACGTGACTCCAGACACATCGGCTCTCTCCGGCTCGACAGCCCAAAAGGAGATTGCCCAGTTTGCAAGGGGCACACGAGAGGAGATCGGATTCGTAGGTCATGGCAAGAAATGAATTTGGTCGCGGTAACGGTTACGAGATGGATGTTAGGATTCGGGTCCTGTCTTGAGGCTCGTTTCTCGCATTATCCTGCAACAGCTGCAGCTCGGCAACCACTTCATGTGCGACCGTGTACTGCTCCAACCAACACTTGGAGATAATCTCAGAAACAGGCAGGTCAACGGTTGGAAATTGTTTTTGTTTGTCCATGTATGTATTGTCCCATAACGGGGCTTTTTTCAGCGCGGTGGTCTCGTCAATGGCATCAACGTGCGAGGTGACGCCGGCGCCTAGCAGAGTTCTGGGACGCTGCGGCTCAATAACCGGCAAGCTGGGATCGTCTTCTTGGAAAGTGTCGGAGCAAGTCATCTTTTCCTTGCGCATTGAGAGCGTGAGGTTTAGAAGTTTGCTTGTATTTGAACTGTGAAGGATATGGATAAATGTTTATAGGATCAACATATGATAGGATGAGAAGATGTGGACATTATATTTTCATATGGACATGCAAAATGCGTATACAAGGCATGAGAGGACATGTCTTGCAGTATTATTTGGTACATGATAAGGAAATAGAGGACTTAGGAGATTCATAGCTCACACACGATCAAGCAAAGTAGATGATCCTGTATCGCGGAGACAGATCTGTAAAGCGAAGAAACACAACGAGTTCATCAGACAATCTGTGACGCCGGCATAGTAGACAGGGTATCAGGAAACAAAAGAGAAAAAATAAAAAAAAAAAGCCATCTCTTCACTCCAGCGTCCAGGAGAATCTTTCATCATCAGAAGAGCACCATCCCGCCCGCAACACCACTTCCGCCTCGTCTTCCACCTCTCTGCCCCCCAACCAGCGCAAACCTCCCCTTCTTCACCTCACGCACAATCCCCTCGCTCGCCGCCCACTCCCGCAGCCCCAGGTCCTCTCGAATCTCCACGTCCCCATTCTCGCAGTGCTTGCCCACATGCTCCATCCGCGTATCCCAGCACCCGGCCCCCTTGAACTCCGCTGAGCAGTACGTGCACTGGCTGTACTGCGGGGCCTGGCGCTGCTCGATCCAGCACCGCTGGCGGACGTCGTTTAGCGAGGCTTCGAACGCGTCGCGCACGCGCTTGCTGGGCTCTGATGTGCTGGAGGATTGTGGGCTGGACGAGGACGAGGAGGAAGGGGGGCAGGTGGGAGAGCTGGGGACGCGCCAGGGGGCGTGCATGCGGCGCTGGTGCTGCGTGAAGAGGTCCTTGCGGTTGAAGTCGTTGGGCGCGCGGGCGGTGGCGGAGCATGGGTTGTTGAACGAGGTTGCGTCCGAGGGAGGAGTGCAGGGCGGAGCGGGCGACGCGACGTTGCAGATGCCGACGTCGCAGCGGTAGAAGCCCAGCTGGAGATGCTGGCTCATGACGTGCCGCTTCCATTCGTTCTTGGAGACGAGCACCAGCGGGCAGCCGTAGGGCGCGAAGACGCAGGGGAACTGCCGCTCCGACTTCTTTCGCACGGCCCAGGACGGGGCCTTGGAGGGTGGTGTTCTCCCCCGATGCTTGCTGCCGCGTTTTGCAAACGACTGCCGGGGTTTGGAGCTGTTGCTGGCGGGCTTGCTCCTCTTCTTGGGCGACTCTGGAGGAGTCTCGATCTGTGGCATGGGCGCGGAACTCTGTTGCGGAGAGGCCTCGAGTCTCATGCGCTTTCGTGGAGGCTCGACCGCGGGCTCTTCTTGCTCGTAAAAGTCGTGCGGCTGGCGAAGGAGCGGATCGATATCCTGGTGCGGCTCGAGCTGGGGGTGTTCATACGCGAACTGGGGCTCATGCCCCGGATACGTGAGTAGGGGTCGGGCTGGTGTCTGCTCGAAGTGAATCGAGTCGTCGTAAAAGGCGACGGGCTCGTCCTCTGGCGGCGGCGTGTGGACTTGCTGGCTCGGGTCTGGATAATGCTGCAAGTCGTTTGGGTTCACTGAATACTCGCTGCCGCAGTATGAGCCCTCCATCGTGGGCATCAGGGAAGCGGGACTGAAGAGCTCTGTGAACTGGAAGCCGTCAAGCATCGGGGACGGCGCGGCGCTGTGCATGTGGTTGGGGAATTTTATCCACGAATTGTCGCTCATGAGGGAGCCGGGTGGCCGAGCCGTCTCCCCCGTGGGAGCCAGAGGGAGAAGCGTATCGCATCGAGTGAATCAGAGGGGGCTGCAGCTGCGTGGTGTTTTGGCTGGGGAGGTAGTGCGCGCCGTGGATGTTGTCGTTCATCGGGGGATAGGGGATGGCTGCCTGCGACGGACTTGGGCCAGGGCTGGACACCCGTTGCTCGACAAGCGCGGGTCTGGTGAGGTCGGCGCCGCCGGTCAAGTCTGCGGTGCCAGTGCGGCAGAGATAGTCGGTCGAGTCCACCAGGATATCCTCCACGCTGAAGAGACCGGGGGAGAATGAGATGTCGAAGTCGTCCGAGGGCGGCTGCTCAGTGACAGGAAACTGGGTCAGATCACTCAAGGCAGTATACGCAAGGTCACTCATTCTTGCGTGGGGATCAGGAATGGTCACTCCAGCGGGAGCGGCCAAAGACGGCAGACGAACAACTGATCGAAGGCGCAGCTGCTGCTTGACAACGATGTCAATGCCGTGCGGCGTAGCACCTGAAGCATCAAGGGTCCTGTCCTAGGGAGAGCGCTGTTTCGCGCGTTTCAAACAGTGGAGAGCGTGCGTAGAACACAGAGAGATGTATGTGAAAGGGACGCTCTGGTTGTGGAAATATAAAACGAAATAGTCAGCGGGTAGCTATGAAACTAAGGGAGGATGGATGGATCCTCCTCGCCGGTCAGATATATATATATGTGTATCTGCCAAAGACTGAAGCTCTCCGGCCGATGCGAGCAAGCTTTGATCGACTGGGGTAGTGAAGGAGGCGCGGTCACTCACGCCAACTGCAGCGATGTCCGGTCCTGGTCGACTGGGCCAATGGTGGGAAAGGGAGGGAGAGAAAAAAGCAAAAAGCAATACAAATGTCTGGGACATTTGTGCATGGGCAGCGGGCAGCAGCAAAGCAAAAAAGGAAAAAAAAGGGGGGGACGTATTTTGCTTTATCCGGCTTAGCCAGAGCGAAAGAGCATCGCGGAGGCCCGTTTTCTCTGCTGTTCGGGATGCAGACAGTTCGACCAAGGGAGGCAAAAGGGCCAAAAGGGGAGCAGAGCCGCATTCTGGCCGCCGTCGACTTCCCGGCAGCGGCATCCATGCCCGCGCCGGGCTTGCTTTTTGGGCCCAAAAAGGGGCCAATAATGCACGGGAAGAGGCGAAAAGCAAATGCACGACGCACCGGCGCGTTGATTGGCGGCGCCGGCAGAGTCTCTGCTCCAGTCCGTCACGAGATGGAGGCTGGATGGCAGAGGGCGGTCCCCTGGCAGCCCGTCGAGTGCATCGTCGCCCTTTATTTAGATACGAGCGGCGGACCAGCCATGGCGATGGCGGCCGTCGCTAACGAGCCGGCCATTATTGGTGGACACCGAGGCCAATCGGCGGGCGCTCCACGAAGTGGGAGATGTGTCTTGTACAGTGTAGCTTTGACCGACGAGGGCATGGAAACAGTGGCGAGGCGAGTGTTGCGTCAAGAAGAGAGCCCGTCGTGAAGAGTGACTGTGATGCACGGAGTTTTTGCAATCCGCACAGACGCCGTCTCTGCCCCCTGCGAGGACAAGGATGCAGGGCCGGGGTGCGGGCTTGGGAGTTTCAGAGCACGGCGATCTCGTCAACAAGAGCATCGCAATGCAGTCACCTTTCATCGCTGTGGCACGGGAGACACGTTGAGCAGCAGCACAGCATCCACGCTGAGCAGAGAACCGATGCGTTTCCCGCCTGGCGATCGCCCAAAGCCACGGGCAGTTCGTACGAGGTACCGCGTTGCTGGATGGCTCTTCGCTAGTTAGTCCTGCTGCACGGCACAAGCACATCGCAGCGATGCCAATAGTCGCGGTGATTGGAACGGACCCTGTCCCTGTCTGTCCAAACCAGCCATTCAGCATGTCTCGACGGCTGCAAATCAGCTCGCTTCCACAGTTTACAGTTGGGCCCGGCGCCATGGGCGAGAGGGAGAGCAATCTTCACCTCTCTGTGCCACGATGAAGCGCGACGGATATGTGCACGCTGGAGAAGGCGGCTGTTCAGAAAGAACCCTGCATATCGTCTCTACGGGGAGGACTCGTAGATGCTGGAGCAGGGAATTCAGCATCAGGCCGACTCTACTGCTACTCCGTATACATGTAGCTGCCATTCACGACGTCCAAGGCACACAAGGCATTATCATCATCTGCCGCTGTTGTTGAACTCTTGATCCGGGCGCAGATTCAAGAGGCAGCACCGCCTCAGCGTCCGCAAACGCGCTGGCGGTCCAATCCCCCTGCGCAGCGGCGGGCTCGGCGGTGCGCAGTGAAGCTTAAGTGTATCCAAGCCCGAGTCGACGTGAAGAGCGGTGGAGAGACGATGAAGAGGGAAATCTCTTCTCCTGCGGATGATCAAGCCCCAAAAGTCAAACCGCTCGACTCCCACATGGCAACAGAAGATGGACAAGAGGAAAATCTCACTGCCTCGAGTCCCATTATTGGTGCTCTTACGTGGAGGGATTTGCGCCCGGCGTGAACTCGGTATCACCATTCACGTAATCTGCCATGCAAGGGTCTGGTTTGGGCGAGCATGGGCAGCATGGAGCTGAACGGAGTCCCCCGGGACACTCTGCTCTGCTCAACAGCGGACTCAGAGCTGCAGCGACATGGACTCGGACAATTTAGAGGCCAATCACCAGCCGTGCTGCCCTGCTAAGACACCGGGATGGTTGGCTGATCTCGTCTTCCAAGGGAGCTAAAAATAAGGCAACAGCGCTGCAACAAGTCTACATTTGTCATCTCGCGTTGAGGGATAATCTGCCTCTTGACGGGCCAAAGGGCATCTGATCACTGATCATGATCTCAAAGTGATGCTGCTCATCCAGCAGTCGGCGCACAAACAACCATGTCTCTCTCGGTGGCCTCTTCCGCCCTCGCTGTGGCCTTCGGGACTGGGAGTCCGAGAGTGAGTCTCTATTGCACATTCTCGCGATGACTTACAAATCTCTTTTATGTCATTCAGTCCAACTAGAGACTGCATCCCTGGCCCCCATCGCCGGTTTCAAAACCCGCGATCAATGCGCAAACAACCAGAGGGTTTCTTAATTTAACCCCCGTCTTAGTTGCTGGTGCCCTCTCCGATCTTCCCGCTGGACCAGATGATTGGAACTTCAGTTTAATTGCACTTCTGCAGCTATCAGCTCGCATGATCACGGCGGGTGCTTTAAAACCATCCCGGATATTTATTAGACTTCGCACCAGACAAAAGGTGAGAAGATTGGGCAGGATTGCCAACCCCAGCCCGGGCTAATCAGAGTCTACCCGACACGAAGACACAGAGAGAGAGACTGGTTCCGGATGGCATGGGAGCACCCGTCCTGTCAGAGGTTCCTCGTCCATTTCTCTCACATGAACACACCACCAAAGGGATCTTCCCGTCGATGCAAGGGAAACAGATCTAGATCCAAAGACCTGAATCATCGAGCGAGAAACCGTCGTTCTCTGGCTCAAACATGCATCATTCATTCCAAGACAGACCCCCTGAGTCACTTTGACGAGAAACATTCGGCACCGACTGGACAAGAATCATGGACTTTCAGCCTCCATCTTCCTCAGCCAGTCGTGAAAAGGGTTTTTCTCTCTCTCAAAAACTCAAAATCCCAACGAGCGAGGATGTCGTACGCCATGTTCATCCCTTGCGCAAGATCATCGCTGGAGGGCTCTCGGTCAAGAAGAACGCAGTGGTTCAGTGCAACACGCAATGGTTCCCAATGCCCTCCATCCTCCCGTTCTCCCTCTATAGACTTTGCCTGCGGAAGATTGCAAACCCCAACCCGTCATGTCCGGTTCGCACGAGGAGCCATGCCCAACGGGGCCTTCCCCCCTTTTGATTCATCCCTACCATAGGGCCATGGTGATCTCGCGCGGGGGAGCAGGGCATGCAATCCAGCTCAGCGCCATTCGGACCGCCACCAAATCACACCATTCGTCCCAAGTCATCAACAATAACAAAATCCTGCAAAGCTAAAAAAGGTAAAAAGAAAAAAGCAAGACAGCGGGGAAAGACATTGTTATCATTATTATCATTTTATTATTTGTGTTTTAGTTTTATTAAGCTCTCTGAAATCGGCGACTCCGTGGGCATTTGTGATGCTCGCTTTTCGCTCGGCATCCGGGGCTCAGCTCGTGGCAGGTTTCAACTCGAGATGCTGCTGATCTCAGTGAGGAAAAGCAAAAAGAGAAGAAGAAGAAGAAAAAACCAAAAACTCAAAGAGACAGTGAAAAAAAAAAAAGAAAAATTAAAGTCCAATTCAACGCTTCTCGTGCCATGGATCCATGTGGCAGCAACATTATTATTGCATGGAATCCAATCCAGACCGAAGAGAATCCCTAATTCAGCAAAAAGCAACGGCCTCCCTTGCACGTGGACTCGTGAGGTCGGATTTGATATTTGGGAATCACGGTGATGGCGAGCGTGATCGTCTCGACGATGCATTGATGATGCGTCTTATATAACGATATGAGGATAGAACTATTCACAGGGGTCGACAGAGCAGCAAAGGTATAGTAGTAAAAGTCTATCAGATGCTCGATGCGAGCAAATGCATATCAGAACGCACAGATGAGAAAAAAAAGTAGAAAAGAAATGCGCAAAAGATATCAATACTGCACAGTAGCAGAATAATGTGCCAGAAGGTAGAAAAAGGGTAGGAAATGTTGGTATCTTCAGTCCTCCCCCCGGAATATTCCTTTCACTAAGATTTTATTTTTTTCCCACAACATTTTTGCATCCTCCGCTCTCACACTCAATCCTTCTTCGCCTTCTTCGACCACTTCTTCGGCACTCGTAGCAGCCAGTAAAAGGCGATTGCTCCAGCCACGTTGATGATAATATACACGAACAAGATTCCAATGTTCCTCCAGCGGTCGTGATACGCGATGTTTACCTTTTGCAAAAATGTGTTGGTGTCCGCCACGGGGCAAAACTCGCATTCCGTGGTCGATGTCGGGTTGAGGAGTGTGCCACCAGCCACGGCAATATAATCCTTGAGATATTCGCCGCATTGCTGGGCGGCAGGCGGGACGAGTCGAAGTAGTTCGTTGGGGCCGCAGTTGACATTGGTGTTTGCCACACCCGTAGATAGCACGGCGGAAACGTAGTAGGTGAATGGGGAGACACGATACATGAAGATCCAGAAGCGCGGCATGGCTTGTGGGGTTGCCAGGACACTGGTTTTGGGTGTTAGTTTAGACTGTCTCTAGTAACGGTGATGTCTTCGTGGACAACTTACCCGCAAAAGATCAGCGTCAGGGAGAAGAGCAGCTGAGCCAAGTTTCCACCCGTCTCAGCCTGCTCAACACCCGCAATGATCATCGAACTGAATGTAGAACTAAACATGAGGAAGATCCAGATAAGTAGGAACATGGTTGCACCGCGTTCGTTCACAGCATCCGACGGGATGGCATTGCGGAAGAAACCAATTGGATAGTACCAACAGAAGAATGCGGGAACCGCCATCACCGTATTCCACGGAAGCTCGACCAGAACGCTAGAGAGCATAAAGGCTTTCCAGGAGTATGCTTTGGATGGCCGTTCTCTCACTTCGTACAGAGATCGCTGGGTAACAAAGTACGGCATCATCTGCTGCACCAGGTTGGGGAAGAGGATCAGGAACATGAAAATGGCAAACATTTGATTCTGCAAGCCCTGAAGACTGATGGGCTCCTTGTAAAAGGTGAATCCGATGAACAGCGGCTATTCTCTGGTCAGTAAACATTCTCAAAAACAGCAAAAGGGCCTGTTTGAACTCACCGGTATAATACACAGAGCGAGCTTCGAGTAGATGTATTCCGGACTACGCCAATACTGTTGAAACATCCGGTGCTGGACGGCGAGGTATTGTTGCCAAAACGGCATCGCAAATTCACCGTATCCCGCAGAACGAGGAGCCTGGGGTTTCTGGGACAGTTCCGCCCGCATCTCCGCCAACTGGCGACGGACGTCCTCACGTTCGGGGCTGTTACTCCACACTTCAGGCCAGTCCCTGTCGGTTTGAGAGCCAGGAGCAGCACCAATGACTTCCAACATCCATTCGGCAGGATTAGCATTGGGGGGACACTTGTGCGCTCCCTTCTTCTCGAAGTAGTCAATAAGAGTGGTCATGTTTTTACCCAGGTCGCCAAAATAGACGGTCTTGCCACCGGCTGCCAAAAAGAGTAAACGGTCGAATTGCTGCATCAACATGGCGGACGGCTGGTGAATGGTACACAGAATCGCTTGTCCATGGTCTGCAAGCTTGCGCATCAGTGTACAGATGGACCAGGCAGTCTGGCTGTCAAGACCGGAAGTAGGCTCATCGAAGAAGAGAAGAAGATCGGGCTTTGCAGCAATCTCGACACCGATTGTCAAACGCTTGCGTTGTTCCACGTTCAAACCTTCACCAAGGACACCAACAACGGCGTCAGCGTACTCTTCCATACCAAGCATTTTGATAACTTCTTCCACGTAGGCCACCTTCTCTTCCCGAGGAGTCGTCGCAGGCTGTCGGAGTAACGCAGAAAACACCAGGGCCTCTCGAACCGTACTAATCTCGAGGTGCAAATCTTGCTGCTGCACGTAACCTGTCTTTCGTTGAAACGAGTCGTCGCGCAAGCGTCCATCAACCAGCATCTCACCAGTCACGATGCCCATAGTGACACGATCCGCCAAAACGTCAAGCAGCGTCGTCTTACCCGCACCGGAAACACCCATGAGCGCAGTCAGGGTGCCCGGTTTGACCCATCCGTCAACTTGATTCAGAATTCTGCGGGGTTGGCCTTTGATCTTAATGTCGTAGCAGACGTCCTGCCAGTGGAAGATGGAGGTCTGCTTCACAATCGCTCCAACTTGATCCTGTCCACCACTCTCCAGCTTCTGCTTCTCGTGCATGGTTTCCGCGAGTTCGGGATCGTCAGATCTCTTCTTGCTCTTCAGATATGACGGCACCTTGCCCCTGGGGAAGACGAGAATTTCTCCCTTGGACGGTTTGGCACTGACGAGCTCGGTTGCGGAGAGATAGGTGAACAGCGAGAAGGCGAAAAACGCGCAAATGATACCAAAATTCCGCCAGAGATGCGAAGCAAAGTATTTGTATGTGATGTTCAGGAATGCATCGCCCTCAACAAAGGTCTGACCCGGTTGTGCGCCAGTGGCAGAGCATATCCTCGAGTCGCCGGTAACATTCGCGTATGAAGGGCCAGAAGGGACATACAGGGAACAATCAAACCTA